GTTATGCTTGTCTCTTTGATAATGAAAAATCATTGTTTCCAGGCAGTGGTTCATATTTCATCTTTGAAGGCTAGGATTACAATGCAGTATGGTTCTCCTAATCTTTGAAGTAAAGAGAACAGAGAGAAAACAGGCTCCTGTTGTCCTGGCATCTGAGAGAGTAACTTCTTGGTTATAGGAGCATCTGGTTCCTAGATAAGACATTCTTTTGGTGAGCACTTACACTATGTGAGACATTGTTCTAGGCACTTTTAATATATTCTTATCTAACCTTCATTGTATCTCCTATAAAGTACATGGCATCATTCTGTTCTTTCAGAGGTTAAATAACTTGTTACGTAGCTATAAGTAGAAGCTGAATTTGGAAGCAAATTCATCTAATTTAAAAACCAGTGCTCTTTATCACTTTGCTATAATTGTTTTTAAAGCAAGAATGTCCAAAGCTTTTTAGTTGCAGTGCTGTCAGGGTTTAGAAGTATAAACTGGAAGAAACACTATTATTTATAGAAAAAATTATATTTCTCTTTAAATTTTTTACTGTAAAATATAAAACTTAAAGTTTAAGTAATTAAAAGGAAATTTCACTTGATAAATTATCTTCTTTGTTTGATTACACTGAATGCTTTTTTTTTTTTTTTTTTGGACACAGAGTCTCTCTCTGTTGCCCAGGCTGGAGTGCAATGGTGCTGTCTTGGCTCACTGCAACTTCACTGCAACTTCTGCCTCCAGGGTTCAAGAGATTCTCCTGCCTCAGCCTCCCGAGGAGCTGGGATTACAGGCGCCCACTACCACGCCTGGCTAACTTTTGCTTTTTTTTTTTTTTTTTTTTGAGACGGAGTTTCGCTCTTGTTACCCAGGCTGGAGTGCAATGGCGCAGTCTCAGCTCACCGTGACCTCCACCTCCCGGGTTCAGGCAATTCTCCTGCCTCAGCCTCCCGAGTAGCTGGGACCACAGGCACGCGTCACCATGCCCAGCTAATTTTTTGTATTTTTAGTGGAGACGGGGTTTCACCATGTTGACCAAGTCAGTCTTGAACTCCTGACCTTGTGATCTGCCCTCCACGGCCTTTCAAAGTGCTGGGATTACAGGTATGAGCCACTGTGCCCCGCCAAATGCTGTTTGATTCTTGAAAACATTAAGGGCTAGTTAAAAAAGTAATACTAGCACTTTGGGATTTGGAGACCATCTTGGCTAACACAGTGAAATCCTGTCTCTACTAAAAATACAAAAATTAACTGGACATTCTGGCACGTGCCTGTAATCCCAGCTACTCAAGAGGATGAAGCAGGAGAATCACTTGAACCTGGGAGGCGGAGGGTGCAGTGAGCCAAGATTGCACCACTGTACTCCAGCAGGGCAACAGAGTGAGATCCTGTCTCAAAGAAGAAACAGAAGTAAGACTACCCAGATAGCTCACTCAGTAGAGCATCATACTTTTAGTGCTAGATTAACTAATGGCTTGAAGATTGGATAAAGGGATGACATATTTCTAGAATTTTGCTGATGTTTGTTTTCTGAGGAGAAAAGCTGCAAACTTTTCATCCAGTGGCAACTATAGGTTACTGCAGACTTGATAGAAGATGAATGTAGTCTTGACTCTTTGAAGCACTTAACTACTTGTGAGACATAGTGTTAACCTATGATACAGAGCATTGTATGTACATCAGTTCACTTGCCTCTTTAGAACAGTACTGGGAAGTAGATCATATTATGTCCATTTTTTACATATAGAGAAACTGAGACTCATAAAATGTAAGTACTTTGCTCAAGGTCATAAAACGAGTAAGTCAGCAGGCATACTGACTTTTGAGGATGGAGGTGGTAGTGGTAGGAAGATAGGAGAGAGCCAGTCAGAACATGATTATCAAATATGCTGTATTTAGGACTGGAATTAACTGGTCACTTTTTAAAAGATTGTTAATACCTACTTGTCAAATTGTTCTCCAAAAGAGTGGTGTACCAGTTTACACTTGTGCTAAGTTCCTGTAATGGTATCCCATTGCCCAAATGCTTGACAAAATAGGAGAACATTGGTTTTAAAAGTTTATTGGCCGGACGCGGTGGCTCAAGCCTGTAATCCCAGCACTTTGGGAGGCTGAGGCAGGTAGATCACGAGGTCAAGAGATCAAGACCATCCTGGTCAACATGGTAAAACCCTGTCTCTACTAAAAATATAAAAAATTAGCTGGGCATGGTGGTGCATGCCTGTAATCCCAGCTACTCAGGAGGCTGAGGCAGGAGAATTGCTTGAACCCAGGAGGCGGAGGTTGCGGTGAGCCGAGATTGCGCCATTGCACTCCAGCCTGGGTAACAAGAGCGAAACTCCGCCTCAAAAAAAAAAAGTTTATCTATCTGTTAATTACCTGCTACTTTAGTTTGGTTATGACAGATTATTTATGATAACTTATAAGTGCCATTAATTTTTTTTCAGTGAGAGGTGTGGAATAGAATATATAAAATAGTATTTTATAGAGATAAATCACAGATAGCATAGATATCTGTGTTAGAGGGTGTTAGAAAGGTGACTAGGTAAGTGATTTTGGTATGGATTGTGGCAATGGACATAGGCATGAAGCTATATCATAATGTCAAGCAGGAATTGACAACATGGAGATGAATAAGGTGAAGGAGAAGTCAAGAATGAATGTGAGAGACTTTCAGCTTTTTAAAAAGGCATATTTATGTAATTTACACAGGTGGCTGATGAGTTTAACACATGTGGCTTTGACGTTTTCTGCACTTACAGATATATTGATGCCTCAAAGTATCTTTTTTTTAAACTTTTAAAACAATGGAGATAAAATTCACCATTTTAACCATTTTCAAGTGTGTACTATTTATTTGTTTCTAGTATAGTCCCAAAGTTTACAACTACTACCACTATCTAATTCCAGAGTATTTCCATCGTCCCCAAAAGAAATTGCATTCCTCCCAGCTCCAACCTCCCCTCATCTCTTGGAAACTACTAATCTACTTTTCAGTCTTTATAAGTCTACCTAATCTGGGCCAGGCACGGTGGCTCAAGCCTGTAATCCCAGCACTTTGGGAGGCCGAGGCGGGTGGATCACGAGGTCAAGAGATCGAGACCATTCTGGTCAACATGGTGAAACCCCGTCTCTCCTAAAAATACAAAACATTAGCTGGGCACGGTGGCGCGTGCCTGTAATCCCAGCTACTCAGGAGGCTGAGGCAGGAGAATTGCCTGAACCCAGGAGGCGGAGATTGCGGTGAGCCGAGATTGCACCATTGCACTCCAGCCTGGGTAACAAGAGCGAAACTTCGTCTCAAAATAAATAGATAGATAGATAGATAGATAGATAGATAGATAGATAGATAGATAAACAAATAAACAAACCAACCAACCTACCTACCTACCTACCTACCTACCTACCTACCTACCTAATCTGGACATTAATGGAATCCTGTAATATGTGGCCTTCTGTGTCTGGCTTCTTTCACTTAATGTAATGTTTTCAAGGTTCAGCTGTGTTGCAGCATGTATCAGTACTTCATTCCTTTTTTCTGGTTAATATTTTATTATGTGGATGGATATACAGCAGTTCATTTATCCTTTTATCAGTTGATAGATACTTGGGTTGATTCCACTTTTTGGCTGCTATGGGTAATGCTTCTTTGAGTGTTTATGTACATCTTTTCATCTTAACATATATTTTTAGTTCTCTGGAAATATACATAGGAGTGGAATTGCTTGGTCATATGATAACTCTATGTTTAACTTACCAAATAACTGCCAAACTTTCTTTTTCTTTTTCTTTTTGAGATAGGGTCTCGTTGCTCAAGCTGGAGTGCAGTAGCATTATTGTGGTTCATTACCTCCTTGAACTCCTAGGCTCAAGTAGGAGCCTTCCAACTCAGCCTCCCTCCCAAGTAGCTAGGGCTATAAATGCACGCCATCACTCTTGATTAATTTTAAAATTTTTTTTGCAGAGACAGAGTCTTTCTGTGTCCCCAGCTAGTCTTGAACTCCTGGCCTCAAGTGATCCTTCTGCCTTGGCCTACCAAAGTGTTGGCATTACAGGTGTGAGCCATCGTGCCCAGCTGTAAACAGTTCTTCAAAGTAGCTGTACCATTTTACAGTCTTATCAGCAATATATGAGGATTCCAATTTCTCTACATCCTTGTTAACACTTTGTTTTACATTGTAAAAATTATGGCCTCCCTAGTTGTTGTGAAGTGATATCTCATTGTGGCTTTGATTTGCATTTTCCCATGATTGAACATCTTTACGTTTGCTTATTAGGCATCTGTATGTTTTCTTGGGAGAAATGTCTTTTTAAATCCTTTGCCTCTTTTTTTTTTCTTTCTAAGCAAGGCTATCATTATTTCTATTTCTATTTAATTTAGAACTCATTCTGATGGGTCTGTTTTACCACAAGACATCATAGTTGTCTTTTGCAGTACTCTTATTTCAAGTGACACACACATCATTTCTTCTTCCAAATTCTATTGTAAGTCAGGATATTCACAAGTTACTTACAGTCCACATATGTTTTTAATTGTGTAAAATATACATAACATTTACCACTATTTTTAGCTATAAAATTTAGTGACTTGAAGTACATTTACCATGTTGTACAACTGTCGCTATTATCCATGTCCAGAACTTTTTCATCAGCCTCAAAGAAACTCTGTACCTATTAAACATAACATTAGGGAATTTATAAGAAATTGGCGGCGGGGGAGGGTTCTCTTGAAATGGAGTCTGATTTAAATCTATTTAAACTCTGTTACAGCTTTCATTCATTTTTAGAAGCATATTATGAAAAAGAAAGCATATTGACTCGTTTAATTTTCATATTTGTTACTGGTTGTTATTTTATGAAGGGACAATTTCTTGATATGGCAAATATAATCTCAAAAATATATACATTTTACCATTTTATGTATACACAGTGTATATACTATATATTACATGTAATTTAATGTTGAAAATATGTTTATCTATTATAAATTTATTATATATAACTTACTATTTTAGGAAACTCAAGAATATACCCGAAATGTTGTTAGATATTGCCTTGAAGCTCTTCAAGATTGGTTTGATGCTATTAACTTCGTAGATGAGGTATGTATATTTTTTGATATATGTAAAGACACTTAAGAAAAGTGTTAGATTTCATTTAATGTTGAAAATAATGCATACCTTTTCATAGGAGAGGGAAGGAAGTCAGAATGAACATATTATTAGGCTTTGAAAAAGAGAAGTCTAAAGAGGAGGCTAGTTCTCTAGTTCTTTGACATTTAGGAATTTCTAGAGTACACTAACATGTCTGCTTATTTCCTAGAGAAGATTGGCATGATTTCTTTTTCCATTATTAAGTATATATGTCTCATTATTTCTCAGGAGTGAAAATTAGTTTCAGTTGAATATGTAAAAGTACAATACAAATGTGAGTAAGATAGGGGAGATTAATGAAAAGGGTATCACAACTATATTAATTGGACAGTGTTCTGCTTGTCAGAGTAGGAAGAGATGGGTTGAACAAAGGTGATTATTGTTAATAATGAGAAGAGCTGGCACAGACATGGTATGTATAAATTGAACAAGTAATTGCTTTTAATAGCTTCGTCAGAAGCTCTTTCTTTTCCTCTTATGAGGTAGGGTCAGAATAAGTCATATGCAAATGAAAGATCTTGTTTCAGACAGCTCACCCCCACTTCATCTGATTTCTGAATGCTGGGCGCACAGAACTGTTGCTGTGTGTTTGTATGTATATGTGGAGGGCAGGCAAATTTTATCTCTTGTGTGTTTTTCTTTCTTTCTGTTTTAAAAAATGATGATGCAATCACAAATTTATAGAAAAGTTGAGTGGACAAAGAACTTTCTGTTCTTGAACCATTTGAGAGTTCATTTGTTGACTTGATGCCTCACTACCCCCATGCATTTCATTGTTTCCTTCAAAGAAGGATATTGTCTTATATAGCCAGAATGCCACTATAAAAATCATTAATATATTATTAGTATTTAATTCTTAGAACTCATTTGTATTTTACCAGTTGTCCATGATATCTTTTATAGAAAAAGGATCTGGTTCAGAATTGCATTTTGTTATCATGTCTCTAGTCTCCGTCTAAAACGTTTTCCCCGTCTGTCTTTGCACTTTAGGACAGTGACTTTTTTTTCCTTCTTCTTTTTTTTTTTTTTTTGGAACAGAGTCTTGCTCTGTTGCCCAAGTTGGAGTGCAATGGTGTGATCTCGGCTCACTGCAACCTCCGCCTCCCATGTTCAAGTGATTATCTTGTCTCAGCCTCCCAAGTAGCTGGGATTACAGGTGTGTGCCACCGCATCTGGCTGATTTTTTGGATTTTTAGTAGAGATAGGGTTTCATAATGTTGGCCAGGCTGGTCTGGAACTCCTGACCTCAGGTGATCCACCTGCCTCGGCTTTCCAAATTGCTGGGATTAATGGCATGAGCCATTGTGTCTGGCCAGGATAGTGACATTTTGAAGACTGTCTCTCAGTGTGGGTTTGTTTCATGATTAGATTCAGATCATGTATCTTTTTCAGGAATATTACAGAAGTGATGTTGTAGTCTTTTCATGGCATCCTATCTGGTAGTTTGTGATTTGTGTTCCACTAATGATGTTCTCTTTGATCACTTGATTAGGGTGGTACCTGCTAGACTCCTTCATCATAAAATTATCTTTTTTTCTCATGTAATTAATAAAGTGTTTTGTGATCTAATCTTCAATTCATTTATTTTTGTCTCTAGAGATTCATGATTTCTATTTTATTTAATGGGTTATAAGCTATTACTGTTTTTATTTGATGTTCCAGTTGTTTCAGATTTGGCCAGTGAGAGCCCCTTAAGCTAGTTTCTGCTTGTCCCATCATTTTTTGAGTACCTCCATGTTTTCTGGCCCACCAGGATGTTTTGGAGTCATAGTTTTCCCATCCATTCCTGGAATCAATCATTTCTTTATGGATCCCTGGTTACTTTTAGTGTAGGACAGTATTTAGAAAAATTTAGGTGCTACATGGGCTCATTGCTATTGGGGTGTCACTGCTCCCAAGTCCTCACAGTGAACAGAGATTAGGAGTATATATACGTAAGTCTGTATACATATTTGCATCTGTATTTATTTTTCTGTCCATAGAGAAAGCTATGAGTTCAAACGGGTATTTTTAATTCCAGTTTAACACTGTAGGATTTATTCTAGTTTTCTTCAACAGTGAGAAACCTGGTTTCTGTTATCTTTAATATATTATTTATAAATTTATATTTATGTATGACCAATCTCATGTATAAATATGAGAAGCAATTCTCATCTCAGTAACCTCTCTTTCCTCTGCAATGGATGTCTTCTTTTCCCTGCTTTGACTTTGAGTCTGCATCCTATTCCACCTTCTCCCACACATGGACACCCTCCTAATCCTGCCTGGGCTCTGACTCCCCACCTTGGACTGCCTTTCTGTAGAGAAGTCTTGTTTACCCTCTTTGTGCTTGGAACTCCCACACTGGGCTTTTCCTCTTTTTGGATGCCCTCTTCATCCTGTCTTGGCTCTGATGCCTCCTGCTGGGCTCTTTGCACATGTGGATGATCTGCTCACCCAGCTTGGATTTTGATTCCCTATTCCAGGCTGGCCTCCTGTATTGTTGTCCTTACCTCAGTCAGGCTCTGATTCCCCATGCCAGGTCAGTCCCCACATGGAGGCCCTCCTCACTCAGATTGGCTCTGATGCTCTACACTGGGCTGCCCTGCTCTGTGGGTGCCCTTTGACTCTGCCCACATCTGATGTCCTATGCTAGGCCACAGCCCCTGTGCCCAAGCAACCTCTGACATCTCAACCCCTCGGCTACCCCCAATAGTTGTCCTCCTCAGTCTGAGCTCTGACTTCCTGCTCAGTTTCCTACCTTTAGACGCTTATTTTACCCTGCCTACTCTCTTTATCTCCTAGTGGCTTTAGGAATGGTTTCAGAAGGGAAGAACCCTTTGTTATCTTTAGCTGTAATCCCTTCTGCCCCAAATTAACTTTTCTTCACCTCTCATCACCCCTCCCCAGCTCTTAGCCTTCAACCTGGATTTTGTCCATTTGGATTCTGATTCTGCCCCAGCCAACTCACCTTGATTCTTTGCCTTGTCTAATTGTTGGTCTCTAGGCTTAAATTTTGTTTATTTAAATGGTAATGAGTCAGTCTTCAGAGAGAGCATTCTCCATCCTTCACAGAGCTCCATCCCATTTCCAGCCTGCTTCCCTTCTTCACCCTGTCCAGGATCAGTTCCTCAGCCGGAGCTTTAACTGAATCTTTTCTCAACCCAGTTTTCTTTGGTATTTGAAACTTCAGGAATTATTGTTGAAATATTAGCATCACTAAGGCAACAGTAAGATTGAACTGGGGGAAAATTATACAGAAGAAAATGATATTTACATTAATCATGCTTAGAATCAGGAGTGGAATGAAGGACAGTTAGAATCGTGTATGACATACAGAGCAGCTGAACTCTAGAAAATATATTTTTCACATTGAAATATTTTTAGGAAGATATTGAATGTTCTCAAAATTTTAAATAGATTCTTAAAAGAAGAGAAATTAAGTATAGAACTTAAGGAATCAAATAATACGTTTTTATATGGTATTTAAAAGGTTTTATTATTCCTCCTTTTTTGTCATTGAGAAGTGGAGATGAAGAGATATTAAGTGACTTGCCTTTAGTTATGTAGCAAGTTATGGTACTTCTGGGTCCAGAGTCCACATTTCAAAACTCTTGTTTGGTAGTTTTTTTTTTTTTTTTGGTCTGGTATTTTAACTGTATTGATTGTTGGCAGTAGAAGGAGCTTTAAAGACAGGGAGATTTGAGTGTAAATTGCGGCTCTGCCATAATTCGACTAGCTGTGTGGCCTTGGACAGATTTTTCTAAGTTTAATTTTTAATATATTTTTATTTTATTTTTCTTTTAACACTGCTGAGCCCATTTCCTCATCAATTGGAGGTGATAATATTAACGAGTGAGGACTAAGAGGCACATATTACATGTATGATAAACATTAGTTCTTCTTTCATCCTTGTGGGTGGATGTTAGCAGTTATTATGTTAATCTAGCACCAATCAAGCAAATAATATGTTTGTTTGTTTTGCTGTTGTTGTTTTATTTTTTGAGACAGGGTCTCACCATCTTGCTCAGGCTGATCTTGAACACTTGGGCTGAGGTGATCCTCCTGTCTTGGCCTCCCAAAGTGTTGAGATTACAGGTGTGAGCCATTGTGCCTGGCCAGTAACATGTTTTCAACTGAAATAAGCCAAATCAAATAATTGTATAGAAAGAGGGGATAGAATAAATTTTCCTATAAGACAGGCCATTTAAGAATTCTTAAAAACATGAATATCATGTAGGGCAACAATTGTGAGTTTTTAATAGAGTGGGTTTGGCTAGAGTCTTCTGGTAAGAGGAAGGTAGAACATGCATTCATCCAGCAAATATTTATTGAATGTTTACTATGTTGCAGATGTTGGGAATACAGTGATAAAACAGTTCCTAACTTAAGGAAGTGGAAGACAAGTATATGGTTAATTTGATTCCTGTGCTTCTGTAAAGTTGTGACCAGGTGCGATGTGGGAGGATAAAAGGGAGCACCAGATTTAGCCTGAAGAACTCCAGAAAAGCTTCTTAGTAGAAGTGTCAACTGAGCAGTCTTAAATGTTAATCCAGTGGGAGAAGGGATATATAGCATTTGGGGCAGAGAGAATAGCATACACAAAGGCACAGAAGCTTAGTAAGTTAGGGGCACTACCTATGGTGCATGAATTTGTGTGACAGAAGGTGAGGCTGGAGAGGTAAGCTCTTTTCAGGAGTTGGAAGGTTATCAGGAGGCTAAAACCATAGGGAGTCATTAAAAGACTGAGTGGAAGAAGTTCAAGATTAAATTAATGTTTGAGTAAGACCACCTTCTGGCAGCATATAGAGGGTAATAGAAGATAGGTTAGTCTAGGTTCTTTTTATGCAAGGGGAAGAATAATTTAAAGCAGCTTGAGTTAAACAGTATTTTATTATAAATACATAGGGATATCTAAGGGTTAGGGCACCTGGATCTCAGGGGTGGACTGGAAATCTGAATAGGAACTGCTGTTGCTTGCCTTTGCCCTATTTGTATGTGCCTCATTTTTTCCTTCCCTTTCTGTGCTTTTCCCATGTGTTGAAATGCTGCCTTCTTAGAGTTGCCTAATGTTACCACTTAAGGCATACTCCCAGCTTGCCTGTGAATGTCTCTGAATCCCAGTTCCAATTTTTTAAGGGAGAAAGTCGTTGCTCAAGTTGGGTTGGTGTCCCCTGCTCTGCCTCCAGTCAAGTATGACTACTATAAAGTTGACTGTCAGGCCTCTATGTATGTGGGGTTGAGGTGGCAGAGAGTGGGAGGAGGAGACACAGTCTGAGAAGATGGGAGGGTTATGAGCTAGGCAGACACCACAAAAGGTGTCTTACGGAGGGTAGTAATAGGAGCAGGGGTTATCACTAAAATCTAGGCACTAGGTGTTGAGGACCTGAGCTTAGGTTAGTTAGGTGCAGTGTAGACAGAAAGAAAGTGGATTTAAGGGATACTTAGAAAATAATTAAACACAGTTTGGTACCTCATCAAATACAGGAGACTAGTGAGAAGGAGGAAGTCTACATTTCATATTTAAATTACTGGGAATCTGGAGAAGAAATAGTGAGGTGGATTGAGTTTTACGGCAAAGATACTGAGTTTGGTTTGGGCACACTGTATTTGTGGGTCCCGTGGAATATTAAGTATCGATGTTCAGTACATATCTGAATGTAAGATTTGGAGTTCAGGAGTGAGATTTTCACTGAGATTTGGGAATTATCTGGGTAGAGTTAGCAGCTGAAGCTGTGAGTCTGGATAAATTCACATATAATGAGAAGACTACAGAGTGAAGAATGGAATCCAAAGACTGTCAGTGTATATAGGAATAGAAGAAGAGCTTATCACATAGCTAGTCTGTAACATTAGACAAGGAAGGAATATGAACTTTAACATTACAAAGAATGTGAATTTAGGGTATGCTAAAACCCTGAAAGATTATTAGAGTTGATAGCTTAGTAGTTAATAGCAGTGTGTATTGGGTACTGTGTTGTTTTACTTATTTCTCATAGCTACCCTGCTCTTTTTTATCCCTGTTTTAAGCATCAGACAACTGAGGCACAGAGAGGTAACTTGCCCACAGTTTTACACCATAGGTGGTAGAGCCAGGATTTGAACTCATGTGGTCTAGATGTTAAGAGTTTACACTTAGGGGCCAGACACCATGGCTTATGCCTGTGGTCCCAGCACTTTGGGAAGCTGAGGTGGGTGGATCACTTGAGGTCAAGAGTTCGAGACCAGCCTGGGCAACATGGTGAAACCCTGTCTCTACTAAAAATACAAAAAATTAGCTGGGTGTGGTGGTACACGCCTATAGTCTGAGCTACTCAGGAGGCTAAGGCAGGAGAATCACTTCAACCTGGGAGGCAGAGGTCGCAGTGAGCTGAGATTGTGCTACTGTACTCCAGCCTGGGGGACAGTGTGAGACTCAAAAAAAGAGTGCACTTAGGCTGAGCATGGTGGTTCATGTCTCTAATTCCAACAGTTTGGGAGGCTGAGGCGGGCAGATTGCTTGAGTCCAGGAGTTTGAGAGCAGTCTGGGCAACATGGTGAAAATCCTGTCTCTATCAAAAAATTCAGAAATTCGCCAGGCATGGTGGTGTGCATCTGAAGTTCCAGCTGCTCAGGAGGCTAAGGTGGGAGGATTCCTTGAGCCTGGGAGGTGGAGGTTGCAGTGAGCTATGATCATGCCACCATATTCCAGCCTGAGTGACAAACTAAGACCCTGTCTATTAAAAAAAAAAAGAGTCTGTGCTTATCCACTGTGCTTAATGCCTTCAAAGGAAATTGAGAGAGATTCTGACTTAGCTAGTTAGTGTAGAATATGTTATTAAATGATTATGGTAATGGACAGCAAACTTTTTAGAATTTTATTTTTAATTGTGGCAAAATACACGTAAAACATAAAATTCACTATCTTAATCATTTTTATGTGTATAGTTCAGTACTGTTCAATATACTTGTATTGTTGTGCAGCCAGTCTCCATAACTTTTTTATCTCAGAAAACTGAAACTATACCCATTAAATAGCTACTTCCTGTTTTCTCTTCCCCTCAGCTTCTTACAACCACCATTCTCCTTTGTAGCTCTGTGAATTTGGTTGCTCTAGGAACCTCATATAAGTGGAGTCATACAGTTATTGCTCTTTGTGACTGGTTTATTTTACTTAGCATAATGTCCCCAAGGTTTATTCACGTTAGAGAACATTGTTAGAATTTCCTTTCTTTTTATAGAGGACAAATTTTTATTTATTAGAACAAATTTTTATAGCCTTTACATAATGAAGAAGATGTTATTATCTTACTGGTTTTGAAAAAAGTAATTATTTAAGGGATCGTGGCATATTTAGATTCCTTATAACTTCTACAATGATACCACATTAGCATAATGATCTGAATGTCCTGGATAAAAATTTTTAGCAAGAGAATATTTACTAAGAACTTATAAAAGCATTAAAAACAAACAATCCCTTTTTAGTTTTTAACTCATTTGTTTAAGAACAGCCATGGTATATTTTTGTCCTGTAGGACAAACATTTTGTGATTCATGGGATTCACAGATTTAAAATACAGTTTTTGTAATATTTACAGGAATGCCTAAGGTCATTGACATACTTTTTATGAAGTTTTGTTACAGAGGCTGGTTGTGTTTGGTACTGATTGGAAGCATCTTATCAGCTGGTGAAGGAATCTAACAATGCCCTGTATTTATAACTCTGTTTAGGGATGTGGTCAGAGTCTTCTCATGGTTTTGAATATGACATTGGAATCCAGATTAGCTCCTCAGTTCTTTTGCTGCTTGTAGAATGAGAATATTAATAGTTCCTACCCCATAGTGTTCTTCTGAGGATTAAATGTGGTAATGTGAATAAAGTGCTTAGCATGGTGATGGGCACATAGTAAGTACTCAATGAATGTTACATGTGACTATTAGTACTGTCGTGATCTTTTGTATACATGCATTTGAAGAGTCCCAAATGATCTACTGTAGAGGTAAATCCATTCCATCCCTTGTTTTTATAATGATTATTTGCTTTAGCTGAGTTGAATTTAGGAAATATTAATCTGAAGCTGGATGCTTCAGAGGATTCAAAGTTGAGTGCAATACAGTTTCTGCCTTCAAAAAACTTAAGTGTTTAAAATGGAATAATTTTATCTATAGTGATATTAGAATCTGCATCTTCTAAAATGTTAAGTTTTGAACCAAAATTATAGGAATAAATCCAGGTGAGAGTATGGTTTAAACATTTTACAACCATCTTAAAATTTCTCTAAAATAGTCTTTGACTTGTGGGTTTTGTTTGTTTATTCCAGCCAGCACCTAACCAAGTCACTTTTCATCTGCCACTACATCGTTACTATGCTATGTTTTTGAGTAAGGTAAGACTTTCATTAAACAATTTTCTTCTTTTTTGATTTTCAAAAATAAGAATTGAATTAGTAACTTTCTTATTGTAATTTTTAGGCTGTGAAATGTCAAGAACTAGATTTGGATTCTGTTTTACCAGATCAGGAAATGTTAATGAAACTAATGATTCACCCACTCCAAATTCAGGTATGTATTTAGGCATTTAAAAAGTTTCGAAGTGGATTCTCTAAGTGATTCTTCCTTTATTTGTGTCTTTCGTTGTTATTATAGCCGAGATATTTGAAAACTCTTTTAAAATGAAGTTGTTACTGTATTTTTACCAGATTATATTTAGGTATTTTTCATTTTTTGAGATTTACTTTTAGTTTTACTTTTTCCAGAAATTCTTTTCATGGTATTTACTTATGGGGTGACATTTAACACACTATAGCACTGTTTGGGAGTCAGGAGATCCGAAAGGTTCTAGTCTTGGTGTTACCACTGTTTTATTTTTCACAAGGTTTAGGATAATTGACCTCCTTGATTCTCAGTTTCTCTGTTTGTACAGTGAGAGGAGAAAGAAGAGAGAAGAATTAGTTTATAGAAGCACCATGATTTTATTTAGTACCAACACTAAAATTTTGCAGGCCAGCATTTTATATACATTACAGGGACTTGCACTTCAGTATGTTTTTCCTGGCAATTTTAGATTTGTTACTTATGATATTATTGAATTTGAACTCTGGGTGTTAGGAAACAAGAGATAAAATCATGACTCGTAGTTTTAGTTGTCACTGGACATAAATACATGAATAATTAAATACTGATATAGTGAGAACATTTATTCTGACCTCCAATATTTGGAAAATCAGTAGTATAGATTTAAGATTGAGTAAGAGTGAATTAAAGATGTAGAATGTATTCATTGACTTTGAACAATTGGTTTTATTTTATGTTTATTCCAGTGTGTATTTTTTTAAACATTATGTATATTAGGATTGTTGTTGTTGTTGTGTTGTTACTTAGGGTTTTCTTGAGGGAGAAATAGAGTGAAACATAAGCATTGATTTCTTATGAAAGATGCCAGTGAAAGTCAGATAAATGTATACAGAGGCCAACATGGAAAACCAACTCGTGTTTAAACTCTTAAAAAGTGGCTATGTGAAAACATAATTATTGTTAAAAAAAAATGTAAAAGTGTATATTTCAACTGATTATCTTTAACATTGGACAGACTATCAGGCTCATACTATGATTACATCATTAAATATTTTGAGATGGTTATTTATAATATTTTATAAAGATCGAGTTTAGATAATTTATTCTTTGTCCAATTTACTTTTATTAGGCAAGTCTTGCTGAAATCCACAGCAATATGTGGGTAAGAAATGGTCTGCAAATCAAAGGACAAGCCATGACCTATGTCCAGTCTCATTTCTGTAATTCCATGATTGATCCTGACATTTACCTGTTACAGGTAAGCCAACAGATAATGTAGTTATGCTTTATACTTACAGATAATACAGATATACTTTAGAAGTGTCTCATTTGTACCCAAGTGAGTATATTTGTACCCAAATGAGACACTTCTAAAGTATATCAGTATTATCTGTAAGTATAATTTTAATTATAGAGATGACTGAGTAATGACATGGAGAGGCCAATGCCATTGAAAGAATAATTTATTACTTACATTTCTCGAGAGAAAAGGTATACCACCCAGCACAGGGCTACGTCAAGAGTCAGAAAGAAGTGAGCGGGGAGGGCCTAGGCCAAAGCCTTTATTGGGGTTTCTGCAGGAAAGGCAAGTCAGGATTGGCTAGTGTGAGTAATTCCAGCAGGCATTGAGGCCTAGAGGCTGTACCTGGCTCTGTGGTACTTGGCCCTGGGTTGATTTAGGGCAGGGTAAATACTAGGTTGATGTGAGAGTTAGATAAAGATGATGGTTGGCTTGCATGATGGGCATGTTCCCAAGTAAGTTGTTTATTATGTTTAGGAATTAGCTGGCTCTGGGAGGGACTGTCTGTCTTCAGGTCTGTAAAGCCCCTCAAGATGTCAAATCATAACATACAGAAAATAAAAATTATGGCTAGGCATGGTGGCTCACAGCTGTAGTCCCAGCCCTTTGGGAGGCTGAGGTGGGTGGATTACTTGAGGCCAGGAGTTTGAGACCAGCCTGGCCAACACATTGAAACCCCATCTCTGCTAAAAATACAAAAATTAGCCAGGTATGGTGGTGCATGCCTGTAATCCGAGCTATTCTGGAGGCTGAGGCATGAGAATTGCTTGAGCCTGGGAGGCGGAGGCAGAGGCGGAGGCTGCAGTGAGCTCAGATTGCACCAGCTTGGGCAACTGAGTGAGACTCTGTCTAAAAAAAAAAAAAGAAAAAAGAAAAATAAGAAAAGAAAAGAAAGACATGATTAATAGAAGAAGGAAAACTGAATATTGAGAAATAAAGCATTTTGTTTTCTTTTAAAGGTTTGTGCTTCTAGACTTGACCCAGATTATTTTATTTCATCCGTCTTTGAAAGGTAGGCATAATTTTATTCAGACATGTATTAGGAAATACCCAGTTAATTTTGTTTTAATTTATAAAAATATGTTTTAAATATTTCTTCTTGTAGATTTAAGGTAGTGGATTTGTTGACAATGGCATCACAACATCAAAATACAGTACTTGATGCAGAGCATGAGAGATCGATGTTAGAAGGCGCTCTTACATTTCTTGTGATTCTTTTGAGTCTTCGTTTACATTTAGGTAAAACTCACTGATACTAATACTTAGGTATTAACTGTTTTCTTCCCTTCCTCCCCCTCTCTGTGGTAGTAACTGGCTTAGGGAAAAAAGGAAAGGATGTTGATAAATTTAAACAATGTTTCAAACTCTTGGTATGTTGTACTATAGTTGTATCTTTTAGAATATCTTTAAAATATCCTTTGCTTAAGGGAACTGCAAAGAGCAGTTAAACTGCAGTTATATTTGGGGAATTGCTTCTTTACTGTTTAACTTGAAGCATCCTATGTTTGGTAAAACAGCTTAATAAAATGTGTGGTAAGTTATTTTCTTTATAATTTATGTATACTCAGATTTGTTAATTCTGTTTTTATTAATTTTAGGAATGTCTGATGATGAAATTCTCAGGGCAGAGATGGTAGCCCAGCTGTGTATGAATGACAGGACACACAGTTCTTTGCTGGACCTCATATCCTTCAAGTTTCTGTTAGTTGCAGGATCTAAAATAAGTAATTGTTATGATTAAAGGTTTATAAAATTTTTCATTTTTTTTTCAAAGTTGAAAAATAAAAGAGAAAAAGAACACCAGTTGTTTGCTCAAGTAAAGTATGTATTCAGGGCTAGTGAATTTTTTCTTTTAAACTCCTGTTATTACCTCTTAGGGAACTCTTAGACTTTAGGGTAATTTCAAGACTGATTGTTGAGTTTGGCCACCCTAGGATTTAACCTTCTAGGACAGCATTAGTGCAAAGAAACTGAACATCTTGTAAAAGGCAGCTACGTCTATTTTGTCTGTGTAGCCAGGCTGCAATTCGTGGTTAACAATTCAAGGTATACCTTAAGATTATTACTAGGATTTTAAACATTTTGAGGATTTTTCTGTAGAATTCGGTCTTAAAGGATTTTTGAGTTTGTAGATTATTGTATACAAACAGGGAACTTGTGGTTCTTTGTATAGGACTGAACATACAATGGGTATTTGATTATTTTTTAAGTTAATGTTAATATAATTTTAGGCAAAGATTATCAAGTAATTTTTTGATAAAAATTCTGGCTAAATTTAATATTTATATAGCTTATGACTATGTTAGGAAGAATTGGCTAAAATTTTTGTTTTGTGAAATAAGTCCTGTTAGAATGCCTATTTGACAGCCTTGATTTTTGTAAGCAGTGTCAATTTGATATCATCTGATGATTTCCTTCAGTCATTATGAACTATGTGTCAGAGCTAGTATAGAGTAAAAACGGTCTCTGTATCTTTGAATTTTAAAGAGTTATATATATATTTTTTAATGTGAAGTGAATGGGAGAGAATCTTTCTGGTTTGCCTCTGTTTAAATGCTTAGCATTTTTTTCTTTGGGGATGAAAGTTTGTGTTTTTGGAAAAACAATCTTTGCTTATAAAAATCTTGGCTAATTTTTTTGCAAGTTCTTTCTGTTTTTTAAGGAAAAGTTATTTACAAAATGATGAAATGATACATTTAAAAAAGTTTTTCAATCGTTTTTTGAAATCTGATAAATTTATTTTTGGGAAAATAGACCTGGGAACTACCACAGCATATAATTTATTAGTGGGCTCCTAGATTAAACATATCTTCAAAAATCACAATTAATGAAAAGTTGTTATTGAACTGTTGTATTATATAGCCCTCTTGTGGCCAGCTTCATATATTACAGTCAATTACTATTTGTCTACTTTAGTAAAATGAGAAACTAGAGTAACTTGGAAATGCTATGAATCTGGCTTTTTGTTATTAATATTTTTTTCTTGACATATATATCATATTCCAGAAAATCCTAATCCCAAAAGTGGCATTATTCCAGGCAGTTACAGCTTTGAATCAGTTTTATCAGCTGTAGCTGATTTTAAGGCTCCTGTTTTTGAACCTGGAGGTTCTATGCAACAAGGCATGTATACTCCCAAAGGTATGTTTGTATACATAAATGAATTCTTTCAAATATCAGTTCTTGAATGGTGAATTCTTTTGTGTATTTAAAGAAAATATTTACCATTTAGTCATTTTCTCCACTGTATGATAAATTTATGTCTTTATTGGTAAACAGTGATACTGCTTTCAATTACCTACAAATCTATAGCTTTATGTTACACTAAGACTTCTTAGATGACTCTAAACTCTAAAGGAAATTTGTATTAGAACTCTAGTTCATTTTTATAAGTGATCATAACCATACATGAACTAGAAACTATATAACAAAATGTATATTTAAAAATATTTTGAATGTATTCACTCTCCAAATTTTGTTTAGAAACAGTAGTACAATCCTCATGACCCAAATTTTAACTTGAAATAGTTCAAATTAAAGGGTGTAGAGGCAGGGAGCGGTGGCTCATGCCTGTAATCCCAGCACTTTGGAATACCACGGTGGGTGGATCACCTGAGGTCAGGAGTTAGAGACAAGTTTGCCCAACATGATGAAACCCTTTCTCTACTAAAAATACAAAAAAAAATTAGCCAGGCATGGAAGCAGGTACCTGATTGGTTTTGTAAGTTTTTTCCCCTCTAGATTCACAGTTGACCATGCTTGACAAGAGCCAGAAATAAGTGAGGTTTTGACTTACACAGTCTTTTTTTTGTTGGACTTTCAGATTTTCACTGACCTAAGTTAAAATTCTTGACTCCCTCAATGCGTTGTCTAAATGAAAAACCAATGCTCATTTTGAAGTTTTAAATAATATGTACTGTACTGTGTGTGTTTGGCAAAGCAGAACAGAAAAGCCTTATTTGGGATTTTTCAGGGAGTGCAAGACAATCCAGAGTCTCTGGTTGGAAAGTACTCCATTAAAAGAAAAGCACAGTATTGTTTTTAGTGTCGAGGATACTTTGTGTTTAAAATTAGATGAACTTGGGAGTGGGGTGGTACTGTGGTATAGTGCAGTGCTTATGAAAGTATAATGTGAGGATTACATCTCTGTGAGACTTGTGCTCCTCATTAAGAATGCAGGTTCCTGTGCCTCATCTCCTGTCTGCTCTCATCAGAATCTCTGTGGGTAAAATCTGAGAATCTGCTTTTTTAAACAAGCTCTGTAGATTATTGTTATAAACAATGCTGAGATGGAATACTGGGCATTTGGAGATTAGAGCTAAGAAATTGAGTGTCAAACTTAAATACAGTATGCATTGTGTTAGCTAGTTGTGTGATTTAGGAAATCTGTTGTTTTGTTTTTTGGAGACAGAGCCTCACTTTGTCACTCAGGCTGGAGTGCAGTGGTAACCATTCACAGCTCACTGCAGCCTTAACCTAGTAGGCTCAAGCGAGCCTGCCAACTCAGCTTCCCCAGTAGCTGAGACCATAGGTATCCACCACTGTGCTGGCTAATTTTCTTATTTTTTGTAGAGACAGCGTCTTGCTGTGTTGTCTAGGCAGGTCTTAACTGTTGGGCTTAAGTAATCCTCCTGCCTTGGCCTCCTAAAGTGTTGGGATTACAGGCGTGAGCCACTGTGCCCAGCCAGTTTTTTATCTTTGGATTCAGCTTCTTATCTGTAAAGTGAGTTCTTAAACTTTTAAAAAGTGGTTGAAACAAGCCTCTGGTTTCAAGGTCTAAGCCTTAAGTGAATTTGTTATATAATATAAAACCAACAGTAGCTGGCCTACTCCTATTAAAGAGGGTGTGGGGAGTGAACCTAGCTTCTCCTCTGTTGTGCTATCCCCTTGCTCCTAAAGTGGCCCCTGTTACACGTCGGTGGTAATTCAGCTTCATGGAACACTGTTTGCAGCCCATTGGACTAATTAATCACTAAAGTTTTCTTCCATTCCTAAGGTTGTACACTTCTAATAAAAGCTTTGGAATGTTAATTATGCAAAATAATAGTCTTCAAAGAGAGGGACAATAAATGATGATAGAAATACTAATAAGGGTCTTTGTGAAGGACTGTCTTCAGAATTTTAAGTCATACTTCTGATACTTTAAGATGAATAGCTTGTTACATGAAAATAGGGACAGTGGTTAACAATGGTTAACTGTTTTGTGCTAGCAAGTTGTAATTATAGTAGATGCGTAAGGAGAAGCTTAAGTTTCTCACCATGTTTTCAAATGTTAATAATTTTGTTAGAGCGAATGAGAGAAAAACTTAACCTAGTAAGGAGATACTCTTAAGGCAATGGTTTCTAAAATTATTCTCAGTCCATTTTTTAGATTTTTGCCACATCTAAATATCCACTCTATTGAAATATGCTTGGTATTTCAGTACTTTTTTTCCTTTATTTATTTTTTTAAGAGACAGAGTCTTACTATGTTGCCCAGGCTGAAATGCAGGGGCTATTCACAGGTGTGATCCCACTACTGATCAGAACAGGAGTTTTGACATGCTCCGTTTCCGACCTGGGCCGGTTCACCCCTCCTTAGGAAACCTGGTGGTACCCCTACTCCCGGGAGATCACCATATTGATACTGAACTTAGTGCAGACACCCAATCAGCATAGTGCACTATAGCCCAGAACTCCTGGGCTCACGTGATCCTCCCACCTCAGCCTCCTGAGTAGCTGGGACTACAGGCACGCGCCATTGCGCTTGGTGGGATTTTTTTTTAAATGAGTTAACTTAAAAAAAACAAACTTTGGTTCATCCTAAGCATGATTATTAATGAGGTGTCATGAGTTTTATTTGCAACTTACAATTTTCTAATACACATTAAAACTAATTACATAATTATTAAAATAAAAGTCTTTATATACTTAATACTTAAAATCATCTTGTGAACCATGGGTTGTACAGATTCCACATATAGGATAGTGGTTTCTAATTATTCAAGTGAGGAGACCAATGATCAGTTTTAGCAAAGGAGCAGAAAATCTTTTTTAACCAAAAAAGATTTATAGAGTGGGTCTCTTGAAAATCAATAGCTCATTAATTTTTTTTTTTTTTTGAGACTGAGTCTTACTCTGTTGCCCGGGCTGGAGTGCAGTGGGGCAATCTTGGCCCAGTGCAACCTCTTCCTCCAAGTGATTCTCCTGCCTCAGTCACCTGAGTAGCTGGGATTATAGGTGTGCACCACCACACCTGCCTAATTTTTGTATTTCTAATAGAGATGGGGTTTTACCATGGTGGCACTGGTCTCAAACTCCTGACCTTAAGTGATCCACCCACCTCAGCCTTCCCAAGTGCTGGCAGGCATGAGCCACCACGTCCAGCCTCATTAATCTTTAAATCGAGTTTTCATGTTTTTACTTTTAAATACTTTTATTTGAATGCTTTTTTTTTTTTTGGGAAATGAGGTCTGGCTTTGTTGCCCATGCTGGCCTTGAACTCCTGGGTTCAAGTGAGTTTCCTGCCTAAGCCTTCCAAGTAGTTGGGACTACAGGTGTGAGGCATCATGCTCTGGTTACCTTTAAATTCTTTCTTTCTTTTCTTCTTGAATCAGTCTCACTCTGTCACCCAGGCAGGAGTGCAGTGGTACAATCTCGGCTCACTGTAACCTCCGCCTCCGGGGTTTAAGCGATTCTCTGCCTCAGCCTCCTGAGTAGCTGGGATTGCAGACACATGCCACCATGGCCAGCTAATTTTTGTATTTTTGGTAGAGACAGGGTTTCACCATCTTGGCCAGGCTGGTCTTAAACTCCTAAGCTCATGATCCCCCTGCCCTGGCCTCCCAAAGTGCTGGGATTACAGGCGTGAGCCAGTGTGCCCAGCTGCCTTTAAATACTTTCAAAGGTCTTAACATGCTGTGTTTTTTTCTTTTTAATCGGCACCTTACAAAAAACAGTAACAACAACAATGAAGGAAACTTTTCTGGTGAGGCATTGTGTATTATAAAACTTTTGTTCTTTAGTGCTTGCTGAACTCAAGAGAACATTCCTGATGATGAAATCGTGATGTTTGACTTAGAAAAGTAATCATGGCATCAAGCTTCTTAAGGCAAATACTGTAATCAGATTAGTGTTCTGTCTTTTAAATTTAGAATGTACTTACCAAATGTAATAAGTCATTAAAAATGGATTTTATTTCTGAGAAGTCAATGTTTCTACTTTTTTCTGGATAATAGCTGAAGTCTGGGATCAGGAGTTTGACCCCGTCATGGTCATTCTTCGAACAGTTTACCGTAGAGATGTGCAGTCTGCAATGGACAGATACACTGCATTGTAAGTCCATCAAATTGATTAGCATGGTAATAAAATGTTTCATATTTATGTAGAAAAATTTCAATTATAACAAATATGATATGCTCTCACTAAAGTATACTTCCATTCTTTAGAGATTAAAATAATAATTTAAGGTTTAAAAAATAATCTGGTAGAGATTTTTGTTAAGATCTTTATCCAAAATTTGATGTTAATCTGATTAATTAAATTAGGACATGATCACTAAATTAAAAAACAGAAACTTATTTAGTTGCTGTTCCATCAGTGAAATTAAAAGGCTTAGTTTTATGTTGTTATACTTTTGAACCAGTAGAGGAGGCACAAGTTAAGAGAATAGAATTGTCTGACATCAGAGATGGTGACGGGTGTCTGTAAGTGAAAATATTCCTGTGTTCATGACAACTGGAAAAATAGCCAGAGCAAAATGAATTTTGCTTGTAAATATTTAACAAAATAGTTTACAGTATTGATGACTACAGAAAACAAAAGTTTTGAAAGATATCATTTAATGCAGAATTGAATTTTGTATGTTATTATTTTTGTAAAATGTTTTAGGTATTATTTCCACCTCTTTTTAAACCTTAATTGTTAATATTATATTGCTGAATATCACAGGATATCATCTTTTACTTTTCTAAAGCTAATGTTAAATGTCTAAAAAGCACATTCAAATGATGCAAATGTCCTTGATTTTGAGAAAGTATTAATATTTAACCAGGTAACTATCAAAGTGAAACTTCTGCTTTGCCAAGACTTTGCAGTAATAAAAATATCTATCACAGACAGTTATCTGAAGAAAGTTGATAACGTGGAATTTTAATTCACTTCCTCCTCCGAACAAAACCAAAACAATCTTTAAAACGGTAACAAACCAGTTCAGCCATCAGTATATCTCTCTATCTCCCTTTCTCTAAACCCTTGGAGAAATTAGTCTGAGGTTTTCTTTCTCTGGTTTCTTAACTACCTCTTTTTCTGCTTTTCATGTAGTTTTGTAAAAATTTATTTGCTTGTAGTCTTTTACTAAACTCCTAGCTCCTTGAGGGAATATATTTTTGTCTTTGTATCTCTTGTACATCTTTAATACTTGATGTTGGAACTTAGTAGGTATTTATAATATATTTGTTGAATAAATAAATTTGAGTAATTCCTGTTGAAAAATTGAAAAATGAAAAAATTTGGGAAGAAGCATTTGCATGGAAAACCTAATTGAGACTTCATAAAACACCAGTCTTAAATGGCTCTGCCTTTTTTTCAAGGTAGTGATGATGGTTAGTTGTTTTGAATGTATAAGAATTAAGTAAATTTTATTCTCTTTTACTTTGTAGTTAATAGAAATTTGGACTGAGATTGGGCTGAAACTTTCAAAGCTTTGACGGAATTATTAGATAATAAATACAATCAGTTTTAAAGGGGAAATGTTATTTAACAATACACATTTATTGATTGCTTGTTATATGCTGGGTACTCTGTAAAGAAAATATATTTTTTAAAAATTTTTCCCTTAGCAAACTTTTAGGTCTGAGCAGCTTATTTCTTTCATTTAGAACAGTGGTTCTTAAGTAGGGATGATATTTGTCATTGTCTGAAGACTGGTGAGGTTGCCACTGACATCTCGTAAAGGTCAGGTCTGCCACCTCAACCAAGAATCATATTCCCTTAACATCATTAGTGCCTAGGCTAAGAAACCTGGTTCAGACCCATAGTGATATATAGGCATACTTTTTCTGTTTTCAGGTATACTGTGTTTTTGGATTTGTTTTGTATTAATTGTTTAGATCTATATCATATTTTGATTTATAACTACTTCACATAGTCAGATAAAACCATATTCCCAAAGCTGCTTTTATTGTTTTCTTTTTTCACTTTTCTATTTTGTTCTCTGTTTTTCCTCATTCTCTTGGATCTTCTATTTGGCTTTTGAGTTCCTGTACAATTTTTTAATAGTTTCTTAGAAATATTTCTGAACAGGCTGGGTGCAGTGGCTTATGTCTGTAATCCCAGCACTTTAGGAGGCCAAGGGAGGTGGGTCACTTGGGCCCAGGAGTTCAAGACCAGCTTGGGCAACATGGTGAAATGCCATCTCTTCAAAAAATACAAAAATTAGCTGGGCATGGTGGCACATGCCTGTAGTGCTAGCTACTCGGGAGGCTGAGGCAGGAGGATTGCTTGAGCCCAGGAGGTTGAGGCTGCAGTAAGCCATGATCATGCCAGTGCATTCTAGCCTGGGCAACAGAATGAGACCCTGTTTCACAGAAAAATAAAACAGAAACATTTCTGAACCACTTTGATGTTTCTTAGCAGTTTTAAAAACCTGTGTTTTAAAAGAAATAATGTACAAATAAAGCAGTAATAGCAGATGACAAATATACTCTTTAGCTTTAGACTAAAACCTTTTAACCAGTACATATTTGTTAAATGAATGAAAAGTAAATTTTTTTCAGATTTTGTGCTGAGAGTTTAAGTGAAAGTATGCCATCTACTTTATGTGATGCTTAGATGCTTAGAATTTTAGGCTCTTACTGCTGGACAAGACCTTTAAGATCTAGTCCAAGTTCTATGTAAGTGTCTTGTGGGATATCACTGGAAGACAGAGTTGGACAACAGCAAGAGGAGGCTTAAGAGAGAGGAAGTGACTCATCCTGCTTCCCTCATTCCCTTCCAAATACCCCTGAGTGGGCATTCAGCTCTTAAAAAGAAACCAAAAACAGGTCGACAACAACAACAAAGCAAACCAAAGGCTGGAAAACCATCCATTCATTTCAGTGTTATATTTTATATATGAAGACATTGTGGCTCAGAGAAGCTCAGTGAAAATATGTCTGTTTTTTTTTTTTTTTTTTTTTTTTTTTTGAGACAGGGTCTCACTTTGTTACCCAAGCTGAAGTGCAATGGTGTGATGATAGCCCACTGCAGCCTCCAACTTCTGGACTCAAGTGATCTTCCCATCTTACCCTCCTGAGTAGCTAGGACTACAGGTGCATACCACCATGCCTGGCTAATTTTTTAAACGTTTTTTATAGAGATGTGTTTTTACTATATTGTCCAGGCTGGTCTTGAACTCTTAACCTCAAGTGATCCTCCCATCTCAGCCTCCCATAGTGATAGGATTATAGATGTGAGCCATTGTGCCCAGTGAAATATGTCTGACAGTGGCAGTGTTGTTAGAACTGTGATCTAGGCCATTTCCAAAGATGGAAATGATTCCATAAAGTGGTTGTTTAAATTCAGCTGGAAAGAAAATTTTTTTAAATACAGAATTTGCTTATATTTCTGTTGCTTTTTGTCTCCCATCTTGAAGGTTAATGGCTGCTGCCCCATGTTTGAAAGTATGATGTATGAGTTTATACCTATCATTTTCATCTCAAACTGGTCAATAATTAGGTGTTGGTTTGAGTCACTTAAAGTAATTTTTATTCTATCATGTAGCATTTCATTTGCATTATTCCATTAATGCTTTTGAAAAGAGCAGTCAAAATGATGTATTACTCGGGCCTTCAACAAATATATAACCTTTATTTTGTAACACTTTATTAATCTAGGTGCCACATATTTAGGGGTTACTGCTTAAACAAAGAAACAAAGTACAACTAAAAACTGCTTTTTTATCCTAAATGAAATAGAATAGTTGAAGTATTTCATCATAGCTGTAGGGATCTTTTTGGAAATTACATTTCTATGTTGCCACTGTAGTATTATATACAAGCCAATTTTTTTTAAATGCAAAGTTAATTTTATAGCATCTTTATAGTCATAGGTACAGCTTATTTCTCTGAAATGCTAATGATAATTTTCTTATTTTTAAGATTTATTTTCTTCACTCTGTGTAGTATCTGTTTCCTCTAAGACGCATTTTCTATTGTTCAGTCTCTAGTTTCCAAGTTAGAGGCATTCCTCAGATGTTTGACAATGCTGACTACTTGTTTTTAAGAGCTCTTGAGTGCATTGGTGGAACTTGTAGGTTCTGAATTTTAATATAGGGTGATTTGGGTAAGCAGATTTTTTGAAAAGCCCTTGTATTAGATCTTTCTTTTTGACCTGCTCAGTTTCCTCAGGGAAGTATCCTCAGATATTGCCCAGGAGGTGATAGTATAGCTGCTATTCTTCTGTGAACAGATTGGGAGACAAGGCCTAGCCCCTCTGAGTCAAACATGCATTTGATGATTTTAATCTCTCATCCTCATACCCTCAATTGTACTTGCTATTTTATCCTCTCTAGAGATGAATTCTGTAGCCAAAATTCTGTTTCAGTGGTGGAAAGGCAGTTTTCATCCTATCCTCCTTATTTTAGCCCCCTGCCTTCCTAACTCCAGTTATAAAGGTACCAGGTGCTGCCAATTTTGTTGCTCATTTTTAATTGTACTTTTTATTACTGAGTTTTCAGACCTCTTTATGTGTTCTGAATACTAGACTTATCAGGTATGTGATTTGAAAATATTCTCTTTTCTTTCTCTCTCTCTTGTTTTTTTTTTTTTTTAGATAGTGTCACTCTGTAGCCCTGGCTGGTGCCATGATCACAGCTCACTATAGCCTTGGGCACCTCCAGGCTCTGGTAATCCTGAGTGGCCTCCCGAGTAGCTGGGACTACAGGCATGTGCCATCACACACGGCTGTTTTTTTTTGTGTGTGTAGAGATGGGTCTCTGCATGTTTTGCCCAGGCTGGTTTGATATCTGTGCCTCAAGTGATCCGCCTGCCTCAGCCTCCCAAAGTGTTGGGATTACCGGCATGAGCCATTGCACCCGATCTGTAAATGTTTTCAGCCATTCTGTGGGTGAGCCATTCTCACTTACTTGAGAATGTCATTTGAGTCACAAATGTTTTAAATTTTGATGAATTCCAATTTTAAAAAAAATTTTCCTAATTGTTCTTTGAGTGTTATGTCTGTTGCCTAAATTAAGGTCACCAATTCCTAAACCTTTGTTTTTCTCAGAGTTTTATACTTAAAAATAAGCTGAAGCTTTTACATCAAAGTCTCTGATCCATTTTGACTTAGTGTTTATGTATGCTATGAGGTAGTGGTCCAACTTCATTCTTATTCATATGATGTTTCTTTAAGTTTAATAGACCTTGCCTTTTCAATAACCTGGGCCTCATGCATCTTTTCTTTTTTCATGGGTAACTTAAAACTACCCATTCACTTTCTTTAAAGGTTATAGGCTTGTTTATGTTTTTTATTTCTTGAAAAAAATTGCTAAATTATATTTTTCTAAGGAATCTTTATCTTAAGTATATACTTAATGATTAAAAATCTTCTCTGTGTTCTTTTTCCTATTATCTATTTGTGTTTGCTATTTCTTATTTTGAATTAGGTGTCATATCAGATGATTACCAGTTTGACTATTTTTTCTAAGAACCAACTAACTTTTGGTTGTCTCTCTTCCCCCAACCCCATTTTCTGTTTCATTATTTTTTCCTCTATTATTTTTCTTCTCTGTCTCTTTCACCTTCTTCTTCCTCCTCCTCTTGCTCTTCTTCCTCCCTCTCCCTGTCCCTCTCCTATGCTCCTCCCCCTCCCCCTTTCCCTTTTTTGACACAGAGTCACTCTGTCTTACAGGCTGGTATGTAGTGGTGCAGTCTTGGCTCATTGCAGCCATGAACTCCTGGCCTCAGGCAATCCTCCCACCTTAACCTCCTGAGTAGCTGGGATTACAGGGGTGCATCACCATGCTTGGCTAATTTTTGTATTTTTTTGTAGAGGCTAGGTTTCACTATGTTGCCCAGGCTGGTCTTGAACTCCTGAGCTCAAAGCAATCTGGCCACCTTGGCTTCCCAAAGTGCTGGGATTACAGGTGTGAGCTACTATGCCAGACCATTATTGTCTTTTTTTATTTAGTTTGGATTATCTTTTTTTCCCTTTCTGGGATACTTAGTTGCTATTGCTGTTTTAGTGCATTTGGTTTTCATTTTTAATTATTTCTTTTTAATTTTTATTATTATAGATTTAAAAAATATTTTAAATTAATATATCTTAGCCTTAACATTACCTTTTATACAATATTTGAAGACACTTCCTGATAGTTTGATACATATATACAATATGCAATGATTAAATGAGGGAAATTGGGATATTTATCACCTCAAACATTTATGTTCTTTTTATGTTAGGAACATTATAGTTCTTCTATTTTGAAATATAAGATACATTATTATTAACTATAATTTGGATGCTTAGTTGTTGATTTTTTTAAAAACGTATGCATTTTAAGGCTATGTGTTTCCTCCTAAGTACTGCTTTACTTGGTGGGCCACAGCTTTTTCTGTATAGTTTAGGTTTTAAATTTTTCTGTTATGATTTTTAATGACTTCTGAATTTCTAAGAGCATAGTGCTTTGAGATGTCTACATGTCTGGGGTTTTGAGTTACATTTTTAAGTTGGTTTTTAGTTTTATTTGCTATATAACAAGTGAATGTGGTTCATGTATCAGTTCTTTTGATATTTGTTGAGGTTTACTTTGCATACTACATATTTAGTCAATTTTTATGAATATTCTACGTGCTCTTAAAATTAGGGTGTTCTCTAATTGCATGTTACCTTTTCCCATGCTTCTTAATTGTGTTGTTAAAAATCTTTACCAATTTATTTCTGGCTCTCATTTAGATAAGAAATATGCTAATATCCTTTACTATGGTTGTGGATTTGTCATTTTCTCTGTGTAATTCCCTCAAAGTTTGTGTTTTGTGTTATGAGTCTGTTATTACAGTTTTCCCTTCTTATCTGTGGTTTAGCTTTCTGTAGTTTCAGTTATCTGTATTTTCTGTCCAAAAGTATTACAAGGAAATTTCCAGAAATAAAGAATTCATAAATTTTAAATTACATGACATTCTAGGCAGGGTGATGAATTCTTGTGCCATCCTACTGTGTCCCACCTGGATTGTGGATTGTTCCTTAGTCCAGTGTACCATGCTGTATATACTGCTCACTTGTTAGTTATTGACATTGTCTGTTCCTGACATCCAGCTTTCCAACATTGTCATGGCCTAATGATTCAGGACCACCTGAAGCAGATGATCCTCCTTCTGATGACATATTGTCAGAGGGTCATTAGTAGTCTGATGCCATGTCACAGTGCTTACATTATTCACTTCACTTCATCTCATCTTGTAGGCGTTTTATCATCTCACATCATTACAAGAAGAACAGCAGTGAGTATAGTACAACGGTCCCCCTTTTATCTTTGGGACATGTTCTAAGACTTATAGTGGATGCCTGAAATGAGGGATGGTACCCAAACCCTATATATAATATGTTTTTTTCCTACAGTACATACCTATGATAAAGTTTAATTTATAAATTAGTGACAGTGAGAAATTAACAGTAATAACTAATGATAAAGTAGAACAATTATAACAATACTCTGAATGGCATACAATTGAAAACCTATGAATTGTTTATTGTGGAGATTTTCATTTAATATATTCTGACCACGGTTGACCATGGGTAACTGAAACTGGAAAGTGAAACTAGGTGTAAGGGGGACTACTAAACAATAAGGTATTTTGAGAGAGGGGGCATGTGCACATTCACCTAATTTTTATGACAGTATATTGTTGTAATACTTACATTGTTAATCTCTTATTGTGCCTTATTTATAAATTAACCTTTATCATAGGTATGTATGTGTAGGGAAGCACAGTATATACTGTCCATGTTTTCAGGCATCTCCTGGGGGCTTTGGAACATGACCCTTGAAGATAAGAGGGGACTACTGTATTTGCATACAAGTTCATAATTATTGTCTTGGGGAACCTATTTTTCTTATATCCCAGAAGAGACAGACAAGCTAATTCATTTTTCTTGTGAGTTACTCTTACAATGAGGGTAAAGCCTTTCAAGGGTCTCAGCTTTAGGTGGGATCTCAGTTCTATCTCTGAGCCTTGTGTGAGCCCAGCATACCTTGTGATCTCTTTGCTCAAGTACTTTGAAACCACTGGCAGTGTTAGTGCTTGTCATTAATTCCTTCTTTTTTCTGGTAACTGGATAATTCCACTTTTTTTGTGAGTTCAAATATGCATTCAAAAGATTGTATTTTATCCAGCTTTTCCAACCACTGGTAGTAGGAGAATTTTTAGGTTATCTATTTTGCTTAATTTTTACAGCTGGAAATTTATTTGCTGTGTACTTTATCTGTATTCTTTCTGTTCGTTTCTCTTTGTTAGCACTTTAAAGTTTATATTTTTAAAAATTTCCAGCTTAGCTCTCTTTACTCATTTTTAGCCAATAGGAAAAGAAGTAGTAATGTTCATTGTGTATAGAATAGATACCTCTTCGGCATTTAAGCAATTTGATTAAAAATAGCACTGTATAAAATACTGTGACAGAAATTCGTGTCTATAAATTACATTTAAACCACAGTTTGATTTTGAGGCTATCATCTAATTATAGTTTTGTTTTATTTTTACAGTTTAAAACAGAGTGGAAAATTTCCTGGAAACCCGTGGCCTCCCTATAAGAAAAGGACATCACTTCATCCTAGCTATAAAGGTCTCATGAGACTTTTACACTGTAAAACTTTACACATTGTGCTATTCACTCTGCTTTACAAGGTACAGTAGTAATTTGAATAGAAAGACTAAGCTTAGAATTTATTTTGAAATAAAAATGCTGAAGGATAATATTTATATAAAAGTACCACTTATAAAGCAAAGTATATTTATAACATTTAAGAATGTACAAATATTCTTATTTTTCTTTGAATTCCTTTTAATATGATATTGTTTCTCTTCCTAATTAGAATTTGAAAAATTAAAAATTCTATTAAAAATTTTAAAGAAAAATAAGAATATTTATTATACAAATTTCCAATTACTATGTACAATGATTTAACACATTATAAAAAAGTATATATGACATTTAGTTGGGTAGGTAAGTTTTTTTCTTGATCTTATAATGAAATAATGCTTTTAAATTTCTGTACTTCCCTTTCTTTCAACCCCACCCATGACCAATTTTTGAATGCACTTGTTTCTGAAGTTTTGCTATTAAGATTTTGGACAGTGTTCAAAAAACACCTTGGGTGTTTTATTTTCATTAACTTCCAAAAGGGTTACTCAGTAATTGATTTAAAATGCTCTTTTTCTTTATTACAAAAATGTAGAATTTTTTTTGTACTGAAAAGATATTTCTATTTGTTTTACAAAAAATGGAGAGTCTTTGAATGTTTACTTAGTGCCAGATTTTGTTGAAAATGCTTTATATATGCTTGTGGACATTATTTTGTTTAAGCTAGCAGAAATCTTTATCAGGGAAAGTTCTGTTATTCTCGTTTTTCAGAATGAAATTTAGTTTTAGAGGTTAAATAACTAGTTCAGATGAGGAAGCTAAATACTGTTACAAGTAATAATTAATAGAGACAAATAAGTAATTCATGAAAAATTAAGCCTTATGGCAAATTATTTATTATGCTCTTTCAAGTTATATTTTCCAATGTTTTCATATGCTAAATGTACAAATAATATTTTATCAAACATAAAAAGACAATGTTTTAGTTGTTACAAGACTATTATAAATGAATTTTTGAAAATCTCAACTTTAGCTTTCTTGATATTACTACTACTAATAAAAAAATTCTCCTTTGACATTACATTGGCAAGTCAACTTTCTGAAAATCAATGTTAGTAAACCACCTGTATCCTCTGACATGTTTAATGTCAAATAAAACTCCCTGGAAACATCATTTTTAGTTCTTTTGTTTTTTTGAAGTACTTAATAGAGGGATTTTTTTACTCCCTTAACTCTTAAGTTATTCATTTAAAGCTGTAATGCCACAATCTTTGAAGTCAAAATTTAATTGAATTTAGCTGGTAATGTTTTATTTATCAAGAGGCGATAGTATAGTAATGATAGCCAGTGGCCTGGGAGTCTGAGGTCTGTGTTAGCTTACTCTAGCTAGCTGGTTGTCTGGCTGAGCCTTGGTTTCCTCTCCATAACATAGTGGATCAGAAAGGATGATTTCTGTGATCTCCCAGCCTTCAGTTCCCTCCTGCTGCTGCTCCTGCTCCTTACATCATTGGCGTCACCCACTCATTGTTTGTTGAACACCAGTTGCTGGGTACTACACAAAGCAAATGACAGATAGTAACTCATACAATTTGGGGCTATAATTGCAGTTTTCTTTTTCTTTTTTTTGGATGGGGATGGGACAAGTGAAAGTGGTGGGAGGGGCTTATAATTCCAATTTTAGAGATGAGAAAACTAAGACCAGCCAGAGTCTGTTGCTGGAGGTCAACTAGGAATGGACAGAATTTGTTTAAAAATCTGGTTTTAAAAAGGTTTTGAAAGCCTATGCTCTTCATCACTGTGCCAAACAACAAATGAATAGAGAAGCCCTCTGAATAGTCAGAAAAACATGAGAGAGTCAGTGACTTGAAAGTCTCTCTGTTCTTTAGTTGTGGTAGATTAGGTCTTAAGCAACTAAGTCCTCCTTTCCAAATCCCCTTAGTCAATTTGGGCATCTTCTGCGAGGCTCATCTTATCTTGTCTTCTTTTTTGTTCTTTGCTATCTCACCCACAAGTAAAACTGCCACTCCCTACAGAACTCATTCCTTTTGTCCTTTCCATCATTTGGCCAGATGACTTTTGTAATGATGAAAAGGTGATAGCTGCCAGGCCATTTTGTTTCTTGTGGCATTTTGGGTATCTTCTGGTTAGTGGCCTGTTATATAATATTGAATCAGTGATTGGTGTAGGTAGCCCAGAAATTCTGTTTAAGACGTTTAAGGCTTGCATTGAATAATCCATAGGTCAGATTTATCAAATTTTCCTGAAAGAAGCCTCTTTACTAACCACTTGCATTCCTTCTACCTTTCTCCTCCATATAAATCACACACTGACCTACATATATATACAGCCACTCAAAATATTCAGAGGTTCAGAACTTTAATTTTAGGGACATATTTTTGAGAACATTAAAGTACTATAAACATATATCATGATGCCAGTTACATTCCAGGTGCTGTGCTAAACACATTTGCATGAATTATTCTATTTGGTAAACTTACTTATCTGATAGCCTTGTCATCAAGAGAAGAGTGTCAGCAAATTAGGATATAAAATGTTAAATTGTTTTATTAGATACTTACATTTGTATGAGTTGTTTTTTAGTGGACTCTGACATAACCTTTAGAAAATTTATGAACTGTTATTTCTAGATATTACCTAAAGTACTTTTTGTCTATAACAATAAAATATTTTTGCATCTCTAAATGAAATATATTTTGTGGACAAAAATAATTATGAGGCATTTTTTTCCCTTTTTAAAGATTTTGATGGATCATCAAAATCTGTCAGAACATGTACTCTGCATGGTTTTATATCTGATTGAATTAGGACTCGAAAATTCTGCTGATGAAGAATCAGATGAAGAGGTAAGTAGTTTTTTATAATTTAAAATTTTTAGATAGGCAGCGCCTATTTGGCTCTAGCCATTTGTTGCCAAACCAGGCATGTTATACTTTTGGTAATTATTACATGCCTTAATAAAAAGTATTTATGGATTCATCTTGAGGGGTATTTATGTTTTCATCAGACTGATAAGATCTTTTAAAGAACTACTAGAAAAGGCCTTTTGGGATCTTCAAATACATACAATTTTTTAGGGCTTTCATTAATATATTAAATTCTACGTATGGAATTATTGAATTTGAAAATTATAGTTTCTGTCACAAAAATTAAAAGTATTTAATGCATTTTTGGTATTATGCTAAGAATATTGATTACTGGCAAAAAATTACCCATAATCAGTAAGTAACCAGTAAAACTGAAATTAGGACTTAGGTTCAAAAATTCTAATAATTTGATTAGGGATTATTTTTGAGTAGCAAATTCTTTCTGTAAAGATTTTAAGGTAATGGCATGAATATTGTTATATGGGAAAATGTTTAAAGTACTTAAGAATACAAGTTTTTAATGTGTTTCAGGACTTTAGAAGTATAGTTTTCGTAAGAGCAATTGTTACTGTAAATTAGTTTTACTGATGTGTAAGATTCTCCTCATCTCTTTCCTCCTAATGATGAAATATAACACAGCATAATAATAGAAAAAAGCAAGTTAAAGAAAAAAAACCACTTTGTGGTTCTTTGTAGTCCAAGTTGAATCAACTTATATTCTTTCACAGATGTTAAAAGGTTGTAAAGATTCCTCTATGATTAGGTCATACCTTTGGTTAGTTTTTCAGTTTCCTCTACAATTAGTCCAACTTAGCATTATTTTTATTATTACTAATGGGTGAGGATGAATATTCTATAATCTTGAGTATTCCAGATTGAAAAATATATTTTTAGCAGTTTCCATTGGACTTACCAATATTAGTACTGAGAAATATATTCCTGGCTGGGCATGGTGGCTCACGCCTGTAATCCAAGCACTTTGGAGAAATATATTCCTGTATTTTTTGTCTGAATTTAGTTTTATAATTTGAATTTATTCACTTTATAAGTTGTGGAGGAGACAATAAGGGATTCAGGATTATAATAGGCAGTGGATGATTTTTGGGGGCTTGTTATGTCTCTATTGTACCTTGGATCTGACATGGCAAGATTTGATATTCATTATTTTTATATTTTAGGCATCAGTGGGTGGACCAGAACGTTGTCATGACAGTTGGTTTCCTGGCAGTAACTTAGTGTCAAACATGCGACACTTTATAAACTATGTTAGAGTAAGAGTTCCAGAGACTGCTCCTGAAGTGAAGAGAGACTCACCTGCAAGTACTAGCTCTGATAACTTGGGTTCTTTACATGTAAGTATAATTGTAAGAAAGAAAATAAGGAAAAGCTTTATGTTATGTTGGGATATACTGTTCCTACAATATCAAAAAAAAAAAAAGTGGTTGTAGAGAACTTTAAATTGTCTTTTATTTCCTTTGATATATCTATGCAACTTCTACCTTACCAGTCTTTTTCCCTTAATCTGCCAGAATTCACGACGGCCTAAAGTTCTTCAAAGAGAGGTAGTTATGTATGATATTTGCATTAACTAGCAACATGGCTTTCACTGGAAATGGGGAAAAAAACGCTTTGAAGTATTTGTGTGTATGGGTGTTTAATTAATATGTTTAAATTTAAAAGAAAGTTTCTTTGAATTATGTGTGGTTTTTCTTGACAAAGTGATTTAAGCTTAATATTAAAATTTATATCATTGAGCTTAAAAATAATACTGAGTATTTAATAGCATATTTTTCTTATTAGTATTCGAAGACTAATTATAGGTGGCATATTTGAGTCTCTTTATATTTAGCATTGCCGCTATATTACTAACGTTTTAAAAATGACTGGGATATTTTCTAAATTAAAATAAATTTAATTACTAGCAGCATGCTCATTTGCAAATAATTTTTTTTGCTTGTATTGCAATTAATAAACTTTGATAAAATAAGTCTATAAAGTCTTAAAGTCTGTATGTTATGGCTTTGGACTCATTTTGAAAATCATTGCTCTCATTGCATGTAAGTTAATTAATTTTTAAAAAGCAGAAGTAAAAATCTTGAAATGACATTATAAGTAATTAAACTTAAGCAGTTTTAGTCTCCACAACCTCGATTTTTGTGAGTAGAGAGCATTGAATCAGACATTTCTTATATTAGAGTATTTGTAGGAGCTTCCTTTGTCTTTGACAATGTGTTTTCTCTGTAAGCAAAAACTGGAACCTCTATAAGAGGCTTTTGCCTCTAATGCTGGTAGAGAATACTTTAAAAAACAGCTTGGATGTTAACAAATAGTGTATACTGTCATTTGACTCATAAAAGCTCAACTGATATTAGAGCATCCTTTCTATGCTCGCTTTAAAAAAATAAACTCATTAAACCGACTCATATCTTAATTAAAAGATGATTTCTAAGAGCCCTGGTGCAGTTTAATTGCTTTAGCAAAAAAGCTTTTTAGAAGATAAATTATTGAGGGAAATACTTAGTTAAAAAAAAACTGTTCAAAAAACAAACAGTGATATTAAAATATGAAACATTAGTTTGATTTTTCATCCTTAAATTTCAATTTAGTGACTTTAAGCATTTTTGCTAGAATTTTCAAACTTTAAAGTTCCTTAAAAGTAAAATTAATTACTAGTTCAGATTTATTAGCTTAAAATTTTAAAAAAACCTAATTTATAATTTTCTTAACTGGAAACCTTACCAGTCTTCCAGAAGTTAGTAAAGAGTACCCTATTCTTCGTGAATGTTAACCAGAAGAACTTTTCCTCCTTTAAACTAATGAAGAATTTAGTTTATGATTCTCTTTAATATGGCTGTGGATACTTCTTAAGCTTTGTCTTTTTTTTCTATCTAGACTATCTAGACTGGTAGATAGTCTCAGAAGGTTGAGAAGAAGGTGTTACTGCTAATGATATCCTCCTTATTACTGTTTCCAGATTGAGTGGGATTAAATATATTTGAGAGAGAGAGAGAGGTCAAGGGACAGATTTATTTAAAGAACAAATCAATTGAATATATCTTTGTATGAAACTGAGCATTCCCTTTGGAAAATGTAGTACTAATAAGTTTTTTAAATGATGCTGAATAACTTCTCTTGATTTTTCTTTGTTTCTCTTTTTTAATGGTAGAATTCTGGTACAGCTCAAGTTTTCAGTTTAGTAGCAGAACGTAGAAAGAAGTTTCAGGAAATCATCAATCGCAGTAGCAGTGAAGCGAATCAGGTGGTTCGTCCCAAAACTTCAAATAAGTGGTCTGCTCCTGGCTCAGCTCCACAGTTAACTACAGCCATTTTGGAAATTAAAGAAAGCATATTGTCTTTGCTAATTAAACTTCACCACAAACTCTCAGGAAAACAAAACTCCTACTATCCTCCTTGGCTTGATGACATAGAAATTTTAATCCAACCAGAAATTCCTAAATACAGTCATGGAGATGGTATAACTGCAGTGGAAAGAATTTTATTAAAAGCTGCATCTCAAAGTAGAATGAACAAACGCATCATTGAAGAGATATGTAGAAAAGTGACCCCTCCTGTACCACCTAAAAAAGTCACCGCAGCAGAGAAGAAAACTTTGGACAAGGAAGAAAGGTAATTTTTATTTTTAATGTTTTAAACATGGGTGTATAGTTGAAAATTTTGTATTTTCTTCCTTTTGGTCATTTGAGGATAATCACCTGGCTGCTTAACAGCAACAGTCTTAGCTGATTAGTTGATAACATAAATGTAATGGAGCATAGTCAGTGCTTATGCCTGTGATATATTGAGTTCATTGATGGAGAGGCGAGACTTTCTGACCCCAGCATAAAATTAGCACCTTAAACTTGTATGTCTTTTTGGAAAAGTTGCTTCTGCTGTTGTTATTGCTGTAGGGATAGAATAATTCTCTCACTGTTTTCAAAAACTAACAGTACAACTTTAAATGAGAATTGAAAAAAAATTAAATATTGAAAATATTTCTCAACACTAAAAATCCAACTACTTTAGTTGTAGTTTCTTTTGGTCTTTTCTAATCTTTATTAATATATGACTGCTGATTTTTAAAAAGTTCTGACTAACTTATGCTTCTAGCTTTAGGATCTTTAGGTTGCGTATAATTTGTTGTTAAATTATATTTTTAACCTTTTTTTTCATCTTTTGGCTTTCTTAAAAAGAATGGGTTGACTTTTTTATCTCAAGATCTATATTTTGTGGGGTTTGTGGGTCAAGGACTGTGAGCATGGTATGGTTTTTTTTTTCTTGGGTGGTACATTGTTTGCCAGAAGAGTTGTGTTACTATGCATTGTCATCAATTGTTTCCCAAGAGTCTTGTCGAAATTGCTGACCCTGCTGTCATAAACATGACAAGGTGAATCTTGAGAGATTGAAACTCAGTGTAATCATCAAACTCTTGGAAAGGGTTCAGTGTTTATTAAAAGAGAGTATACCTTCTAATGAGTGTACATAGGCTAAAAGAACCAGGACATTAGAAAGAATGATTTCAGATAAAATTCAAGATAGTCGTTGTTCATTTCTCTGAGGTTATAAATAATTTTCATTGGTTAATTTGTATATTATTTAAGACAAATTTGTCTACCAAAGCAACAATTATAGGGAAAGGGTACACATTTCCCTTTATGGAGGGTCCACATCAATATTATCTTAAGTTAAGAACCTAGGACCTTTATCATCTCAGTATCTTTGATATAGGTAAAAATCATTGTCAACAGAGTTATCTGGCTACTGTTGTAAGCAGTATGAATAATACATCATTTTACAGTTGAAGTATATTTTAGAGGTACTTTCTGGATAATTTCTTCTTCTTAGTTACTTTTAAAATTAAAGTTAGGCAGTTATGGGTTAAATGATCAGTGGAAGCAAGGATAAGATGGATCTTACTCGACTGATCCATTTCTCACTCATTGGGTGTCAATCAGGCAGTTCTCTAGACATATCTGTGTCCAGTGTTGGACTTCCTGACCTCAAGGAATTGATACTGTACTGGAGAGACAAACTGGTAAACAGATAGTTTGTTAGTAGTGTTAACATAGTGTAATAGATACTATATTAGATGCACAGGTTATTAATGGGAGTAGCAGGACATGAGGCTAAGAAGGTAACCATATGTCATTAACAGGCACTCAGGGTACAAATGATTACAGGGAAACTGTGGAAGGATTTTAAGTGAAGAATAATTTATAGGGTAATTACATGAGGGTGGATTAGAGTGGGGTAAAACTTGAAATTGGGGGACCAAGCTACTTAGTCATCTAGTGGGGCAGGTGTGGTAAGGGTCTGAACTAAGACAGTGATGATAATGAAGAGAGAAGGAGATGTATATGAGATATTTAGCAGGTATAAGTTGTTAGACTCGGTGATCAGCTTGATGTGAGAAATGAGGGAGAAGTCATGAATGGTGCCCAGATTTCTGACTTGGATAATGTTCCTTTTACCAAGATAATGGAGTATAGGAGGGGGCTCAGGTTCAGTCGTACAATTGATCTGTTAAGTTCTGGGCATTACTAAGTTTAAGAGGAAGACCCAAGGGAAGATGTCCTGTTAGATAGAGGGTTTAAGACTTGGGGAGAATTCTTAGAGTTACAGATTTGAATACATAGGTAATAGTGGAATCCTCATATATGGGAGAGACGACTGTACGGTAAGAAAATGAGAAGACTGAATAAAGAACTCAAGGGAAAAAACATTAAAGGGAATGACTTAGGAAAGGGTACCTAAAATGGTGACTGATAAAGGAGTGGCTGAACAGAGTAAGAGAAAACCTGGGGTGAGTTGCATTAGAGAAGTCACAAGAAGAAATTCAGAAAGCAAGAAACTTACCAAAATTGTTAAGTGTTAAAGGAGTTTAATAAGATTGGCCAACCTATTTGATTTGTTAGTTAGGAGGTCATCCTTTGGTAACTGTATAAGGAGCAATTTTAGTCACATATATAGTTATACTATATCTTTGATGTAATTAAAAGTTTGTTATAAAAATTTTATTTTAAAAATATATGCAAAAGCCTATGGTAAATTAAGAATTTAGTAGAGTTCCGGCTGGGTGCAGTGGCTCACGCCTATAATCCCAGCACTTTGGGAGGCCAAGGCAGGTGCATCACTTAAGGTCAGGAGTTTGTGACCAGCCTGGCCAATGTGGTGAAACACTGTCTGTACTAAAAGTACAAAAAATATACCTAGGCGTGGTGGTGGGTGCCTGTAATCAAAGCTACTTGGGAGGCTGAGGCAGGAGAACTGCTTAACACCTAGGAGCTGAAAGTTGCAGGGAGCCGAGATCGCGCCACTACACTCCAGCCTGGGCGAAAGAGCAAGACTCCATCACCAAAAAAAAAAAAAAAAAGAATTTAGGAGAGTTCCTAAATAGGAGTTATAAAGAACTAACATATAATTTATTTCCATGGGAGAAAGGACATTTGTAACATGTAATTTAGATGACCATTCATTAAGTTTGAATTAGTTAATAGTCTAGAATGTAGTAAATCTGACAAAATTAGGACGTTGAAAATGAGGTTAAAATTTTTATTTTTGTTAATTAGTGGCCTCTCCTTTCTGATTATATAATAGTATATGCTTTTACTTTGAAGGAAGATAAACAGTGAATCAAAATCGGTTTTTTTGGTTAAGGGTATTTTGTAATTTTATTAATAATAAATGTGAAGTATCACATTTATCACATTAAAAGTAGCATAGTTTAGATGCTACTTTTACAAAGGCCTGATGCTATTTATAAAGTTATTTAATAAATAACATTATAAAAATGTTAAAGGCTTTCTTTGTGATAGTTTTTATTTCCTTTGAACAGTGATGGTATTGACAAGGACTTGAAACTAACTTTGTAGCAGACAGCTAAGGATTAAGTTGAATCTGTTTGGATCTCACTGTGCTACTTACATGTGTCTTTTCTTTGGTTTGGCTTTGGATTTTCAAAATAAAGGCAGAACAGTTCATAAACACTTAAGGATCCATTGGACATATGTATTCTAATTGAAAATGTACATGTTCAAAGGTGAGCTGAAGAGTGAGTGGCATTAATTAAAGAAGCATGCCAAAACTTACAGATTTACAAAGTAGTGATTCAGGAGACCAAAAATGTGGTCAGTCAATGCTGTTGTTGCTCATAGCATTTCTGGAGGCCACTTAGAATGCTTTGAACATCTTGAGCATATTTTCCTTTGCTTCTATTTCTTCCATTGTGGCAAATCTTTATCCTTTGAGGATGGATTTATTTTTTAAAAGCTTTTTATTTTGAAGTATCTTAAACTTGTATAAATGGTTCAGGAAGTTCTTTGTACTCTCAACTATCATAATTAGGAAATCAATATGGTATTAGCATCTTTAGATTCTAAGTTTTGATAGTTGTCCCAATAAATTTTTTTTTTTTTTTTTTTGAGACAGGGTCTTGCTCTGTCACCCAGGCTGGAGTGTAGTGGTATGATCACAGCTCACTGCAACCTTGAACCTCCTAGGCTAAAGTGATTCTCCCTCCTTATCCTCTTGAGTAGCTGAGACTACAGATACGGCCACCATGCCTGGCTAATTTTCAAAAATTATTTGTAGAGATGAGGTCTTGCTATGTTGTCCAGGCTGGTCTCAAGCTCCTGGGCTCATATGATCCTCCCGCCTCAGTCCCCCAAAGTGCTTTGATTACAGGCATGAGCCACTGCTCCCGGCCCACAATAATATTTCTTACAGCAGAAAGATCCAGTTCGTAATCACTCCTTGCATTTGTCATGTCTCTTTGCTTTCCTTCAGTATGGAAGTTTCCTTAGTCTTTCTTTTATTTTCACAACCGTGGCACTTTTTTTTTTCTTTTTGAGACGGAGTTTTGCTCTTGTTACCCAGGCTGGAGTGCAATGGCACGATCTCGGCTCACCACAACCTCCGCCTCCTGGGTTCAGGCAATTCTCCTGCCTCAGCCTCCTGAGTAGCTGGGATTACAGGCATGCGCCACCATGCCCAGCTAATTTTTTGTATTTTTAGTAGAGACGGGGTTTCACCGTGTTGACCAGGATGGTCTCGATCTCTTGACCTCGTGATCCACCTGCCTCGGCCTCCCAAAGTGCTAGGATTACAGGCTTGAGCCACCGCGCCCGGCCGGCACTTTTAAAGATTATGAAGCAGTGGTAACATTGTAGAATATCCCTTAATTTGAGATTATCTGTTGTCCTTTTATGTTTTGACTCAGTTTATACAACTTTGGCAGGCATGTCAATGAAGGGTTGCTGTTTTCATTGTATCCTATAAGGTGTCATATGATTTCAATTTGTTTCATCACTGGTGATTGACCTTGGTCAAGTTGGAGAGACTTCTTCACAGTCAGATTTACAATTTTCCCACCCCACTTTACAACTAATACATAATTTGTAGAGATATATTTTGAGATATTGTAATATACCAATCCATATCAAGTTTATATTCATTTATTTTTGTCAGTATGGACTCATGAGTTCCTGTTTTATTTTATGGGTTATAATCTCATATGCTCGTTACTAATTTTGGTGCTCCAATTATTACAGATTTGGCCACTAGGAGTCACATCAAGCTGTTTTTTATGTCCTTTTGATCTATACCCATCATTCTTTGAGCATATTCTTATTTTCTGGGGCAGTAAGATATTCCAGGCTTGGTCAGGTGTGGTGGCTCACACCTGTAATCCCAGCACTTTGGGAGGCCGAGGCAGGCAGATCGCCTGAGGTCCGGAGTTTAAGACCAGCCTCACCAATGTGGTGAAACCACTTCTCTACTAAAAATACAGAATTTAGTCGGGTATGGTGGCGTGTACCTGTAATCCCAGCTACTTGGATTTGTCTCTTCCGAGCTAACATATAATTTACCTTTTCTAACCTTTCTTTTTTTCTTTTTCATCTCCTTTACTTCTTGTTTAAATTATAAATTTAACCTTTCCTTACTGGGCGTGAAACTGTATGCTCACTAGTATTGTTAGCATCACATAATCTGAAGAAACTTGTCTCCCTTCTTTATTAATTAACTTTTGTTTTCCTATTCTTATGTTATGGTACCTTTGTATGGATGGATTTTTTTTTTTTTTTTTGGCAACCAGTAGCAAATTAAAATATTCTTTGGAAGTAGATAAGGCATAGATAATAAATATAATGTAGTGAATTAATCCAAGGGAATGTTTAGGGCTTTGTAATACAGTTTTATTCTTATGTTGTGTTTGAGACTCATTCATATTCTTTTACTTCATACTAAATAACCAAACTTGAAATATGTCCTAGTAGAAACTGGGAAACTTACTGACTTCTGTTCATTCTCTGTTAGGAGGGACCTATTCTTAGGGTAACAGTAAATATGATGGTTTTCATCTTTTAGACTTGGTTTATGTGTAAACATCATAGCTTCTTCTAGGAATCAGTTTACTGTTTTTGTGCCTGGGTTTAAATAGTCTTGCTAAAAAAAGACTCTTCTTGCTTTTGCTACCTTCTGACATATACGTAGGAACTTGTGTTGTTGGAAATCCAAATATTCTATATACCTTAATTATTATTTCTCATTTTAAAGCACATCTTGGCTTTCATTTTTACTATTAAACCAGTGAGTTTGTAACCTTTTAAAATTAGTAGAATCCTTTTGAGGGCAATCAATTATTAGAAATTTAATACGTAATAAAAAAATAGATAGTTCTCAACTGTGTTCCAGGGGCTTTTCATTTATTATATACATGGGAAATATAGTAGTTAGGTTTTAAGCACATCTGATACTTATAACTTTATTTCTGTTTAATCTAGGCGACAAAAGGCTAGAGAGAGGCAGCAGAAATTGCTTGCAGAATTTGCTTCACGACAGAAAAGCTTTATGGAAACTGCAATGGATGTTGGTGAGTCAAAATGTGTTAGTTTAGAATTCTCATACTTATTACTTTAGGGATGATGTAGTCCAATCTTTTACTAATTTAAAACATTATAGACTTAGGATTTCTAGTGTTTATTTGGTCTTTATTTAAACAATGTAGTGATGAAAGCTCAGACCTTTATTATAGACAGTCCATTCTGTTGTTAGTAGCTACAATTGTGGGGAAGTTCTTCCTGTTGGTAGCAATATAGTATGCTCCTTCTGTTCTCTTCTGTTAAATGGTCTCTTAGATTTGTGAGATCCATCAGTGTACATTTACTTATCTTAATCTTTTTCTGTGAAATTATCTTAAAATCCTTAAGATAGTTTCACATATTTCTAGTGCCTCTTTCTGGTTCTCCTTCAGTATTTCTTAAAATCAGGTGAACTTCTCATTTCCATTAAGATTAGCATTAGAATTTATACAATGAGAGAGGATACCATGTTTCTGTATGACAGTACCCTTTTACATATGTTGGAGAAATAAATTAAATCTCAGTGTCAGTCTTTAGTTAGATATTCCCTTCCCTATTTCTTGCATTCCAGCAAATTTTTTCCTTCTTTTAACTTATAGAAAAATTTACAGAAAGAAAATAAAGTCATGCATTTAGTTAAAATACATACATGTATATGCATTCAAGCCTGCCGGTATATCTTCATGCATTTTTATGCACCTAAACACATAACCAGCTTCCTGAAGAAATGTGTAGAGATCAGTTCAGATTTAGCCTAAAGGCTTCTAAACCATCAAGTGTAGTTAATGTTCAGAACATAACTTTGACAGAAAAAATACAGATTTTTCTGTATTCTGAAAATCTGAAATCCAAAATGTGCCAAAATCCAAAACTTATTGAGCATTGACTTTCCACTTGTGGCATGGTGCCACAAGTAGAAAATTTCACACTTGACCTCTTGTGATGGGTTGCAGTCAAAACTATATTTCATTTACAAACTTTAAAACGTTGCATAAGACCGGGTGCAGTGTCTTACACCTGTAATCTCGGCACTCTGTGATGCCGAGGTGGGCAGATCACTTGAGGTTAGGAGTTCCAGACCAGCCTGACCAACATGGTAAAACCCCATCTCTACTAAAAATATAAAAAATTAGCCAGGCATCATGGTGCACAAATGTAATCCCAGTTACTTTGGAGGCTGAGGCAGGAGAATTGCTTGAACCCAGGAGAAGGAGGTTACATTGAGCTGAGATCGCACCATTGCAATTCAGCCTTGGTGACAAGAGCAAAACGCTGTCTCAAAAACAAACAAAAATGTTGTGTAAAATCACCATAGGCTATATGTATAAAGCATATATGAAACATGAATGACTTTTGTGTTTAGACTTGGGTCCCATCCCCAAGATATCTCATTACGTCTATGTAAATATTCTGAAATCTTTAAAACTTAAATCTGAAATGGTCCCAGGCATTTCAGATAAGGGATACTTAACCTGTATTGAAATTCTTTTAGAATTTACTTAGCATCAGTTGACTTTGTCATATGAAAGAAGAGGGTTTAGTTCATTGACACTGCTTTCCCTTTTTCTCTCTCTTCTTTCCAAAAATTGATAATTGTATATATATATGTATGTGTGTGTGTATATATATTTTATTATTATTATTATTTGTTGTTGTTGTTGGCTTGTTTTACTGCAAGATATTATTTTTTTGAGATGGAGTCTCTCTCTGTTGCACAGGCAGGAGTGCAGTGGCGTGATCTCGGCTCACTGCAACTTCCGCCTCCTGGGTTCAAGCAATTTTCCTGCCTCAGACTCCTGAGTAGCTGGGATTACGGGTGATTGCCACCATGCCTGGCTAATTTTTTTATTTTTAGTAGAGATGGGGTTTCACCATGTTGGTCAGGCTGGTTTCAAACTCCTGACATTATGATCCACCCACCTTGGCCTTCCAAAGTTCTGGGATTACAGGTGTGAGCCACCGTGCCCAGCCTATATTTTTGTTTTTTTTACATATTTACTAATATTTATGTAACATTCTATCTGCAGTAGTCAGTATTTTGATACTGCTTCACATAAAATGACCTAATAAGCACCCCATCCTTCCTTTCCTCTTTTACCTCCTGTCTTTTTTCAGATACTTTAAACTTTTAAATTGCCAAAGTTGCTGACATTTTGTTTTGCAGTCACATTAACGTCTTCTATATGAAGGTTGACTCTTAAAAAGAAGAGTTTGTGTTAGTATGACTTTTTGAATGCTGTTGAATACAGGACTAGATAATGTGCCAGAACCATTGACTATTTTTGAGTCTGGTGGCCCACCTCCTGGACCCCTTCAAAGATACTATCTTTAGTACATAGCCTCTTTGTTTCCAGTCCCTTGATTGCTAAACCTATACCATCTTTTATTTGTTTCTCTATGGACCATGGCTTTGTTATGGTGCCTTTTGTTTTTCTTGAAGTTTCCCAATTGTCTTTTTTTTTTCTTTTATTAAAAAATTTTATTGTAGCAAAACCTAAGGTGCCGTTGTGAAATCTCTATTATTCTACCTACTCAATCATACTGTCTTGCTTCGAACTCTTTTCTAATCTGGTCCATTTGGTCTCGAGGCATGCCCTGCAGCTATTACCTTAGGATTTTTCTCTTTCAGGATTGCTATGTTTGCAGGGTTTCTTGCATATTAATGTCATCTCTTTTTAAAATCTTGTTTTATTAGGGGTGCTAATTCAAGTGTATTCTGTTTTTTTTTTTAAGAGACAAGGTCTTGCTGTGTTACCCAGGCTGAATTTGAACTGCTGAGCTCAAGCAATCCTCCCACCTTAGCCTACCTAGTATCTGGAACTATAGGCAGGCACCACCATGCCTGGCTCAAATCTTAGTAATTCATGTTTGGTAGCTAAACCATCTGATTCTTTATTTCTAGAAGGGATTTTTAGTCTGCTCACAAACTTGATTGTTCATTTATATGGATATAGAATTCCAGGTTGATAAACATTTGCTGTCACAACTTTACAACTGAAGGCCTTGCCCCTTTGCCTTTTACCAGTCATTTGATAAAAAGTCTGGTGGTAATCTAATTCTTACATCTTTGTAGGTCAGCACTTTTTCCCTTTCCTGTGACACATTTGTGATGATCTGATCCTTAGTGATCTGAAGTTTTATCATTTGTATCTATGAGGTCTTTTCCTATCCTTTTTAGTGCTTAGTGAGCCTTTTCAGTCTGAAGATTCGTATCTCTTAAGCTATGAGAAAGTTTTTCCCATTATTTATTAATTTTTTTTGATAACTAGTACAGTCATCCTCTGAGAGGATTCTAAATGATACATGTCTCCTGGTCTTGATGTCTTTTGTAGTCTTCTCCCACACTGATATGCATGACCAAGAGAATATGGCAGAGTGAAGGTATATTGTTTCTAATATTAGGTAATGAAAGACATTATGGCTTCTTTGTTACTGTCTCTCTCTTTTGGATTACTCATTCTGGGAGAAGTCAGCTGCCATGTCATGAGTATCCCTATGGAGGCCCATGTGAGTGAGGAATTGAGGCTTCTTGCCCCAACAGTCATGTTAGTGAGCTTGGTTGTGAAACTTCCTGTCCCAGTTAAGCCTTTAAGTTTATTATTTTTTTTCTTAAAAAAATTTTTTTTGGGGGGCTGGCATGGTGGTTCACGCCTGTAATCCCAGCACTTTGAGAGGCCAAGACAGGTGAATCACGATGTCAAGAGATCAAGACCATCCTGGCCAACGTGGTGAAACCCCATCTCTATTAAAAATACAAAAATTAGCTGGGTGTAGTGGTGCATGCCTGTAACCACAGCTACTTGGGAGGCTGAGGCAGAAGAATTGATTGAACCTGGGAAGCAGAGGTTTCAGTGAGCTGAGATCGCGCCACTGCTCTTCAGCCTGGTGACAGAGTGAGACTCCAACTCAAAAAAAAAAAATTTTTTTTTCTGCCTTGGCCTCCAGAAATCCAGGATTACAGGTATTAGCCATTGTACCTGGTGCCAGTTAAGTCTTTAAATGACTGCAGCTGGCTGATAGTTTAACAGAAATTTCAGGAGAGCTCCTGAGCCAGAACCATACTACTAAGCTGCCACCAGATGCCTGACCCTCAGAAACTGTTTGAGATAATTCTGTTTTAAGCCACTGAGCATCAGGGTATTTTGTTATACAGTAATACTTTCCTTCTTATATTTTATTCTTTTTTGGGATTCCCAATTGGATGTTGGATCTCCTAGATTGATCTTTTACTTTTTTAATGTCTTTTATCTTTTATATCATTTATTCTTTTTGTTTTACATACATATAAATTTCCTCTCTTCAGGATATTGTTCTTACCATTGTATAGAATCTCCTCTAAAAAAATTTCCAAATGTGTTTAGGGTGTTACGTTTTTCTTTATCTGTTTCTCTCCTAAATTATCCTTTATCCTAATTTCGTTAGTGTTTTATGTTGCTGGTTTTCCTCATTTGCCTGATGATCCCTGATTGTCCTGGAGACGTGGTCAGGGTAGTTCATTGGGTTTATTTCGTTGAGATATAAAGAGGCTTGGTTTTAGTAATTGTTTCTAGTCTGTGTACATTGGTCAGGTGTATTGACTGTTAGATTTGGATTCGGGGTGGGAGAAGAGCCAACTGCTCTAGTTTGGAGCCCCCAGATGCTAACATTCACATTAAAAGTCCCAGTGTTCTCTAAGCTGCTTTTCCAGTTTCCCTGGCTAAGAATAGTCTAGTTTTTGTTGTTGTTGTTGATCTGTTTTTTTTTTTTTCCCATGAGGTAAGTGCCCAAGCCCCCTGAATGCTCTGTTTAGTCAGAGTGGGGAAGGATTTGGGGTGCTATGTAGTGAAGTCTATATACAGTCCGTAAAATCATTATTCTGTTTTCAGAGTCATTTGATATTTTTGGCTCCTGTCTTCTGCCTCATGTGCTGATTTTGAACCTAAAGTTGGCATTCTAATGGATAGATCATTTTCCTTTTCTGTAACTTTTGGATAACACATAACTGGGTGCAGCTTTTACAACTTCCTTTTCT